ACACTTACTGACTTATTTACTTATGCACTTACTTACTTACTTAAGCACTTACTTACCTACTTACTTATTTACTTACTTATGCACTACTTACTTATTTACTTATGCACTTACTTACTTACTTAAACACTTACTTACTTACTTACTTATGCACTTACCTACTTACTTACTTACTCACTTACTTACTTACTTAATTATGCTCGTTATCCCTAATAGAGCATTTGCCTCCGACCAGTCATCTGTCTTCCTTTACTGTTCTACTTAAACGCTATTTATTCCTTAAATATCTGCTTCCATTTCTCGGTTTTGCTCTTCCGTTTCCCCGTTGGCCTTGAGGACTCCGGATGAGGGCCTGCCTCGTGATGTTGTTGAGTGTTCTCCACAATTTATGTCCTATCCACTTCCAGCGCTTCCTCCTGATTTCTTCCTCTTCTGGAGTCTGGTTTGTTTCCTCGCGCAGTAAGTTGTTGTTGATGGTGTCTGGCTGACGGATCCAAAGTATACTGAGTAGATAACTGGACATCTGGACTTCGCAGATGACATGGCTCTTCTATCTCACACGCAGCAACAAATGCAAGAGAAGACGACCAGTGTAGCAGCAGCCTCTGCAGCAGTAGTTCTCAGCATACATAAAGGAAAAACCAAAATTCTCCGATGCAACACAACATGCACCAACCAAATCACTCTTGATGGGAGATGCCTTGTCGGACGTTAACACCTTTACATATCTGGGCAGCATCATCGATGAGAAAGGTGGATCTGATGCAGATGTGAGGGCACGGATTGGCAAAGCAAAGGCTGCATTTCTACAGTTGAAAAATATCTGGAACTCCAAACAACTTTCAACCAACACCAAAATCAGGATTTTCAATACAAATGTCAAGACAGTTCTGCTGTATGGAACGGAGACTTGGAGAACTACGAAAGCCATCATCCAGAGGATACAGGTATTTATAAACAGCTGTCTTCGCAAACTACTTCGGATTCGTTGGTCAGACACCATCAGCAACAACGTACTGTGGGAGAGAACAAACCAGATTCCAGTGGAGGAGGAAATCAGGAAGAAGCGGTAGAAGTGGATAGGACACACACTACGAAAAGCATCAAACTGCGTCACGAGACAAGCCCTTGCATGGAACCCTCAAGGCAAAAGGAAAATAGGAAGGCCAAGGAACACAATACGCCGAGAAACAGAGAAAGATATGAGAGGAATGGACAAAATTTGGACAGAACTGGAGAGGGAAGCCCAGGTCAGAGTTGGTTGGAGAAAACTGGTGAGCGGCCTATGCTCCATTGGGGGTAACAGGCGTAAGTAAGTAAGTAAGTAAGTAAGTAAGTAAGTAAGTAAGTAAGTAAGTAAGTAAGTAAGTAAGTAAGTAAGTAAGTAAGTGAGTGAGTAAGTAATGAAAAATTCAGATACTGGCCAAAAATTTTTTCACATATTTTTTTGATGTACTATCTCCACTGAATTAATGGATTGATCATTACTAGACTACCATTAGCAACTCTGTGGCACTGGATAGTGTTTTTATTCTAGTATGGGACTCACCATAGATGGGCATCCACGCCTCCCAGTTGCAGTAGTTGAACTCAGGAGCTTCAGTATCGCACGTTAGCGCTTGACCGCTAGACTACTGGGCTGACCGCCAGCTGTGTCAGCACCTAACTTTACTCAATCTGAGGATTTTACGTGGCCTCACCCATGGTCCTCGGTAGTTGCTTTCTACACTCGACTGGGTTGAATTCCGCTGATCTCGTCTTCTCACTTAAACTCCAATAATTTTCTCACGAAGCTAGTCACTAGTTAGTACATTTTGTAGTTTTTCATTATCCAGCTACGGGGATTGTTAAGTTTCATCGAATGATCGATTCGCTGTTTGGATGAAACTTAATCTCCACGACTCGATGATGAAAAATGTCACCATTAATTTTTAACGAAGTTAGTTATTAATTTGCCTTGGTCTCTGTCGCTTTCTGCTTCGATTCTAAAATCTGCTCTATTACGACCAGATAGCCAGTTATCCAGAAATGCTATACGTAGAAGTCCCAACTGCAAGAATCACTTTTAGAAATATTGTCACTTATACCCAAGGAATTAAACCGCACATTACCATGAAATTCATTGGAATTAGGTAGCAGAGTGGCTAGACCTCTAAAACTGGACGGTTTCTTGTGCGTGTGGCCATAATTCGAGGAAAGTAATTTAGCGCAAATCGACAAGAAGTTATTGGATATTGGAGATCTCACTTTTTGAGCAAAGTACGCTACTTTCTAATTTCCTTCTCGGTCATGTTAAGTATATTCATTTTGGAGATTTTTTATGATTAAAATAGCAGTGTTTGTATCATAAATGCAGTATAATTGTAATACTTTAATACAAGTAAGGTTTTAAATCAAATTTGTTTCTGATGGCTCTTGTCATGGTGCATATCAAACCCTAGTAAAATACTCCACTCATGTAATCTTATTCGGTCCAGCGACATGTAGAGTAGGGAGGCAAAAACTAAGTTCGGTATCATGGAACGTCCTAATGTTTCGTTTCATAGATACGTAAACTTTGTTTCATACATATAGTCCCCTCTATTATTTTGAAGAAAGCGGAAATAGAGAATAGTATCGATCCGTTTTATGTCAATAAGTTGTCATCAGCTGCTCATAACCCATAACATTTTCAAGTCCGAACTATCGTGGAAATCAACCAACTCATAATCGTGAAGATGGTTTGAATGATGTATCGCGCATGATGTTACCAAGTTTTCAATAACGTATGTCACAGTATCAAACTAATGATTAAAAATCAAGGAGTTTAACTACAGATGGTTGTGTAAATAGGTAACTGAGGTCAGAGCAATAAAGAATGATTCGTAATGGGATCAATCGTTGAAATGCGTACCAGAGGAGTACATAAACTTATACTGGCTCTCTACCACTGGTCGAGTCAGAGCTTATAGCGAAATCCGCTTGCTGACTTGGAATATGCTGATGATATTTACATTTGGTGAAGATACTGACAAAATGCATTGTCTTCTGACTACCCTAAGCAACAATCTCAGAATGTTTGGGATACGATTCTCCCTGTGGAAATGCAAAATACTACTCTAGAATAGGCGTGCGTCGGAACCTGAACTAGCGGTAGGGAGTGCAACAGTTGAGCGTACTAACCCCTCCACTTATCTTGGAAGTCTCATCAGTGGTGATCGCTTGGTGACTGACGAAATATCAGCACCAATACAGGAGCTGGATTGACTTTTGCCAACCTTTGTGACTTATGGCGTCGGCAAGATACCCGTTTGCTAACCAAAGAACGGATGTTCTGCGCAGCAGTCCGCTGTGTCCTACTATACGAGTTTGAAACAGGATATTTGTAGGTTACTAGTATTTGAAACATTGCTCGTATGTCCTAGGACAATCGAGTAAGCAATGCATTTGTTAGGAAACAGGTAGTAGGTAAGGATGGCAGTTCAATCGATGAAGTAGTGAAATTTCATCAGTTGAGGTGGTTGGGACATGTGTTACAAATGCCTAACCACCGACTGAATTGAAGAGTGATGTCTGATGTAGGAGTAGGTTGGAAGAAAACTAGGGGTGGCCAGACCAAAACAGGGCACAAATCTATGAAGTCACTGACAACTGGACTGAGTCATGTTAGTTAGTGTAGCTTACTTGGTTGGAGTCCGCGAGACAATCGTAACCGGTGGCAAGGGACCTCGAATGACATAGTTCAAAATCGTTTCCAGTGACGTAGATGTATCGATTCTTCGTGTTCTCTAAAATTGTAATCTCAATTCCTCATTATCCCTATCTTTCTTTTGTAAAATTTATTTCACTGAGTTATACTTCGTGAGAAGTATCTTCGAACCCTGATCTCCTCCATCACCGGTTATACTTATACTATCTCTACTACTATGGGATTTGAATCGAAAATCGCATCTCTGTTTTATTACGGTACGGCAACTTAAACTGATATACTTACGTACAAAGTTCTACTTTGTATCTGTCTGTCTCATCGCTGAATGCTTTTACTACACTTGGTCCTAGACTTTTTGGAGTAAGTTATATGAATCTTACGCAGGTCAATCATTCTATTTTACAAGTGTAACTGCTTTAGCAGATGCATGTGAATTCGTATACACAGTTTGCGGTATATATGTATGTATTGACCTTGTTGTTTGGAAGCATCAGTTTCAGTCTCAGTTTGGAAAGTGTATGAGGCTGAGTGACCTGGGTTAGTCTTAGCAATGTCGACTTCTCAGTTTATACAGCTTTCTTTTGAGTTTGTCGACAAATAGAGCCTCAATTGCTTGCTGAATTGACGAGTTCCATCCGTTCATGATTCTATGGCAAATTCGGTAGTCAGCCGAAAAGTAATTTGTTTTGGGCTTGTGATCTTTTTTGAAGTGTCCCCATAAATTCTATGTTTTTTGGTATGAGGGGATGTCAGATGCAAATCTATCATTAGGTAATTAAAAGCTGTAACTAAGTCACGTTTAGTCCTATATGATATGGGAAATAAGTTTAATTTAACGATCGTTACGTCATACGGCAGCTTTGAAATTCCTGGAATCAACCTAGTTGAAGCCTTCTGAACCTTTTCCAACTGGTCACTGTCGTTTTTAGACAGGGGCTGGCTACTTGTTTTCGAAACTAAGTTTAGAACGAACGAATACTCTATACAAAGTTAGGAATTTCTTAGCATTGACATAGCCAGAGGACCCACGTATAGACCATGGGGTTCTGTCTCACTGCAACGTTCGGTAGTTTTCAAGTCTTGGCTAATGATAACTCTTAGGTCATTGTGTCTGGATAGTAGGTAAATCACTGTTATTCACCGTGCATTTATCTGTACCTTGATGACAAATAGGCATCACGATGCACTCGGAAACGTTCATTGGCAACTGCCAATTTCTGGACCATTCAGATAATTTCTGTGGGTCATTTTAAAGCTGTAAACTATTACCTTCATTTTTTTATCGTTCTCCATATCTTGATATTGTCAGCAAAACAAAACCGATGAAGGTAGATTAGGGAGGTTATTTACATACAAGGGGAACAACATTGGACCCCAAGCTTTATCCCGAAATACCTCTCTAAGTATGGTTCCCCAACCAGACAACTTGGATTTGACCCGTACTTTTTGTTGGCGTCCGACTAGAAAAATCCTTAACTCATAAAAGTAAGTTGCCGCTAATTCTGATATAACTTAACTTCGATAAAAGCCGGTTGTGCGGGACTTTGTTAAAAGCCTTTGTAATGTCATTGAAGACCACATATATGGGTAGCTTTTGATCGCTAAGAGAGCACCAACTTTCGCTAACTACATACAATTTTGTGAGACATGAACAGCTTGTCCTAAGATAGTGCTACTTCTCAGTAAGAATTTGGTTTTTGACTAGGTAGGTGAACAGATACCCATGAATAACCTTTTCGAAAATTTTCACAGAAACGCTATTTAGGCTTGGGAGTTGATAGTTCTCAGGTTCATTTCTCATACGTGTATTGAGTTCAGACGTTCTTCTGGTAATCTACTTTCGTTTATAGATAGATTAAAACTCATGGCTAGGGGATTCGAGGTGAGATTCGCTAGTTCCTTGAGTAATCTGGAATGCATTCCCTTGGGTCCCATAGATTTACCCGAATCAAGCTTATGCAACAGATCGAGGATATCAAGTTCCGTAATGGCCGTAGTGTCCAGAGTGTGTATGAAGGGGCTTGTATTAACTGGAGAGTGAAACACGTCCATGGCAAATACGGCACTAAATTAGTTCAGAGTACCTAAGCCTTAAGATAATCGTCTCCCAACAATTCTGCAGTACCACTGTTTCCCCATGCTATGCTGCCACTTCTCTTAGTCCTTCGGTCGATGGACAAGTCTGAGCGTTTTGGGTTTTATATAGACTCATTTACTAGCTTCTTTTCATACAATCTTCTAGACTTACAGAGGGTCGACGGAGAGATATTTCAGGCTTTCCAATATTAAAATTTTGTCTCATCACTGCCAAAGGTCCTAAGTTTCCCCACATTCTTTTTCTTTTATGGAGAAGGGTGGGAACCTCCCTATTGAACCACGGTGGGGAATTTCTCGGGTTCTTTGGTGTAGTCCAAGGAGTGTACGGTGCGTAACGTTTTTGTAGAAATTCCTGAATACCTCCCGAGCTGTTTCAACTGGGGATTCTGGTTGTACTGTCCAGTCTACTGAGGCTGCTAAATGCATGATGTATTGTATATTGCCCTTCAAACATTTGTCTGGCCTGAGCTGACACATCGTTGCAGATAACGATATGAAAATCAAAGACTAGGATTGCGTGGCCACTTACCAAAAGTCGACTTATAATCGAACCAACCAACTAGTTCACACGTCCCAATTTCATGGGATATATTGTCGATAACGATAAAGTGGATAGTATTTCTGATTGATAACGCTAATCCTCCTTTACACTTCTAGATTCTGTTGACTCTAGCTGATTTGCGAAATTTTCAAGGTCAAGTTCTTTATTGTCTACAGACTGAATCAGCCGTGTTTCTGCGATGGCAATTACGTCCAGCTTAGGTAAGTCTATCTGTACACGTAGCTACGATTGCTTGTTGAATAAGCTCCTGGCATTTGTGTAGCAGACCCGAAGACCATTTGTATGACTTGCTACATCAAGTTTCGTCATGAATCTCTGTCGAAGATTCACCAGTCGAAAATTTACAATTCTGAGATCATTTCGCTAGAATCTAACCTTAGTTTCTATTTTTTTTCGTCCTCTGATCTCATAATACGGTCTGCATTTAGAAAAGACACAGTGAGGGAACACCGGAGTTCTACCTAACGATAGCAAAGCTAACAATGTATAACAGGAGCAACTAGAAAACCAGTTAGGCAGCCATGTAGTAAGTGATACTCACCCCGAGGCAGCTTGGAATAATATCCAAATAGCTGGGCAAACAACATTGATATCTGCCAATAAGGTAAACAAAAAGTTAAGGAGAAGCAGTGGATTTCAGCACAATCTATTGAACTGATAGATGCTCGAAAACTAATCCCATCTGGCACTGAACATGACGAAAAGCGGAGTCAGCTTAAGTGCAGGTTGATAGAAAGCCTACGCAACGATCGCCAACAGTGGTGGGCATGGAGACTCCCGTCGTCAACTCAATGCTTGACGTAACTAGACCGCATCGCTATCAGCAACAGATGGAGAGGTACGATAGTAGACTACTGTTCATTCTAAAGCACGTGTTTAGATTCAGATCATGCTCTAGTACGAGCAAGTATTTGTATGCGGGTTACTGGACGCAGAAAAGACGCAGCTAGTCAACCCCTTAGAGGTCTACTTAATGATAGCAGTGATATCTGTCAGTAAGGTAAACCATAAGGTTGGGGGGAAGCAGTTGGTATCACTAGCATCAAATGAACTAACAGATACTCGGAAACTCGTCCCGCGTGGATCCAAACATAATGAGGAGTGGAACTAGCTTAAGCGCCGGTTGATTAGAAGTCCAGCAGAACACTTTACGGAGCGGTTCAACTGTCCTTCAGCAACAATTCAGTTGCACACCATGCAGTTGAAAAAGTAATAGGAAATCTAAAGCGAGGGAGAATAGGACACACTGACAGTGCATGTCGTTGAAATGCGTACCATAGAAGTACATAACCTTACACAGGTTCTCTACTCAAACACCACTGGTCAAGTTAGAGCTTATGGCGAACTGTCATCGAAATTGATTACTTCTAGTGGTGTTTGTCAGGGCTGTCCACTTTCTCCATTCTTGTTTAACCTTATCATGGACATGCTGTCAGAGGTGACACTTTCATCGTCCGATTTTCCAGGAGTTGAACTTTTACCAGGAGGTTCACTTGTTGATTTAGAATATGCCGATGACTTAGTTCTACTTGGTGAAGACGCTGACAAAATGCAGTCTCCTGACTACCCTGAGCAACAATGCATGTTCGCGATGCGATTCTCCTCCTCGATATGCAAAATGTTACTTCAGGATTGGCTTGCGTTGGCACCTGAACTAGAGATAGGGAGTGAAGTAGTTGAGCACATTGACCGCTTCACTTATCTTGGGAGTCTCATCAGTGATGATAGCTTGGTGACTGACAAAATCTCAGCACCGATAGAGAAGGCTCTATTGGCTTTTGCCAACTTGCGTCACTTATGGAGTAGACGAGATATCCGTTCGATAACCAAAGGAATGTTGTACTGCGCAGCAGTTCGCTCCGTCCTACTTTATGGTTGTGAAACATGGCCGGTAAGATTTGAGGATATTCGTAGGTTATTGGTACTCGATTGTAGATGTCTTCGAAGCATTGCTCTTGTATCATGGGACAACCGAGTCAGCAATGCTGTTATTTAGGGAACAGGTACTTTGTAAAGATGGCATATCAGTAGATGAAGTATTGACACTTCATCAGCTGTGGTAGTTGAGACGTTTGTCACGTATGCCCAACCATCGCCTACTTACCTGGGCGATGTCCGGTGTTAGAGTAGACTAAAATAAAGTTTTGGGCTGCCAAACCACAACTTGGCGTCAGTCTATGAAGTCACTGACTACTGTACTGATCCGAGTTGACAGGTGTAGGTTGCCCGATTGGGGTTGGTATGATTTTATGTAAATGATGGTTAAAAACTTGGGGTTGTTTGCAATGGTTCTCGTACATTCACTCATCGTCTTCTTTAGAACCTGAGTCTCGAAGTCTTACCAAGTGTTTTCTATACCTAATGTTTTTGTTAATATTAATGCAGTTACTACTTCTGTTATTCTGGGATTTGCCTTGGAATGGTGTAATCTCACTTCGATGTTATGGTCTGGCCACTTGGACGGATACGTGTGTCAGTTTCTTCATTGAATATGACTGATCGATTCTTATATTTAATTCTAAACCTCGTGTCAACTAAATAAAATGAATAATTAGATCCAAGGCGTTCCAGCTATTGATAAAGTCACTAAATGTTTGCCTCATTTGTTTAAAAGGACCTAATTGAGTGGTTAGATTTTGAGCTTCCAGAATAACAGCTGTTGTGATTCTATGGTAACATCATGAATGCATTCACAAGTAAGTAAATCCCGACTAATGTACTTTTCTGTCCTTGGATATTGCTTTCCTATGCCAGTCTGGCATGTACAACCTAGAGTCTGACACTTGTATCGTTTGGCTGTATCGGTTGTTTCTAAATGTTTTGCATTGTTACATGCGATCAGTTCTTTAAGTTTGTGATTTTGTTATTCTAATATATTCTTATGCATATTTGTATATTTATACATTTAGGTACTATTTTAATATGGACTGATGCGGTTACCTGTTTTTCAGATGCCTTTATCACTATTACCACCAGTATATCCATCAAAATCACGAGATTCTTTAGACTTTAGAACCGAAATTCATCAGCCTCCTGAATCCGGCGAAAAGATTAGTAGTGCTGCTAGTGAAGCTGCATTACATCGATGCAAGTTATATGAATTGCGCCAGTCGTTCTTGGGTTTATCTAGTTCAAAAGACTCTTGTCCTCATTGTCATACTGGAATCTCTTCGTGTATATATGTGAGCACAGATAATCAACCTTTTTATACAAGCCCTGTGGGTAGTTCAGGGTGTACTGTCTCTGATTCAACAAGGTCTAACTGTAGTTCTTCAACTTACGCATGTACCCCTGGTATCGATTATCTTTTTTCTGCTACCGAATTGGACAGACTTCGTGAATCTGTACATACATCCTATAAAACTACTGAAAAACAGACTTTGCTAAGCTCTTATCCTAATGTTGAATACGATCAACTTGATTCTACTGACCAACTTCCAAGTCCCAACTACACATCTTTTATTAGTTCAAATCCTCTCATATCATGTGAAAAGAATGCTTCTTTAGCGCCTTCATTATCAGGGACATTTACATCCAAGACCAATTTGTTTGTCAGTAAAGCCGACTTTTCTCCTCTAACTCCAGAAGCTATCCATTTATCGTCAGACGAGTTGGCAGAAAGTTCTACTTCCTCAACTTCCGACTGTTCCCATGAATATTTTGCATCTGATCAGAATCTAAACTGTCCTAAGTTCAACATCAATATTACTAGTTTGAAAGGTGTAACTTGGTTGTCTGAACAGTGTAAAAAAAATGAACATGTTCAAAGTTCTTCGTATAAATTTCGTAGCAAAGGTTCGCAACCAAAGCACCGGGTTAATAAATCCAAAAACATCTGGAATGAATCAAACACCAACTTACATTGTTCAACAACTGATTATTTATGTATGCCGAATCCTTCATCTAAAGACATAAGAAAGTCAGACCGAGTTAACAGTTATAATTTAAAGACCATCCAATCAGATGATTCGCCTGAAGATAAAACGTGTGCTTGTTTTGTGTCTATAGGCAAAGTGGATGTGTGCAATTTTCCTTATAAAAATAGTTGTGCGCCTGCTAATCTCGAGCTTAGCACAACACATTCACATTATGATGAGTCACAGGTTCGTTCATCAACAAAGTCTGTGATTGGTCGCTGTTGTTCAGTCTCACCTAACCATCGATTGTCACACTCATTTTTCAATTCTCAGAACAATCGAAGTGATTCAAAGGTTACTCTGAGTGGAAAAGTATGCACAATCGATAGCTCAGGCATTATTACAACCGGATCTATTGATAACAAATGCTCTTATGATACAAAAAATCATCTAAAATCATCAAATCAAATATCATCATCTTTAATGCCTTATAGTCAGATAGATCAGAAAGAAATAAGTTCCGAAACACTTTCTCTGACCGGTACTCAAGATGTAATGTGTGTATATTCATTTGGAAATAATAATAACGATAGTAAATACAGGAAACAAAAACGTGGACCAAGTAATCATCCGAAAAACAATAACAATCAGATGCATGTCGATCATACACTAGAAAACCAAGACTTTTCAGAAAAAGGTAGTCAGTCAATATCAAGAATTAGTGGGGAGAGTGACGACGTTTTTCATCAGAGTCTTGATCCTAAAAATACCCTCATAAAACAATATAGACCGCACAAAAACCAAAATAAAACTTCTTTACGAGATAGTATTGTGGTTAGTGCTTCATATCAAAGCAGACAATTAACTTTACCACAGGCACATGCATTGAAATGTACGGACGAAGATGTGCTGTCTTACGAAACTAGTTTGTCATCTCTGCCATCCTCAGCGTTATCATCTTTCTGTCCAGGTAACACATCTCTGGTGACTACTCATTCTCACAACTTTGGTCACTTAAAAGTACCTCTACCTGGTCTTACAGTTGATCATTCCTCTCATAGCCATCACTCATCCGATTATTCAGTACGTGAATCAGTATTTTATCACTCTCGTAATAACCGTAACTCAAAGCCAAAACGCCCAAATTTTAGAAGTACTTTTACCGAAGATGCCTGTAAGCGGCGTCACGAGAAATTAAACAATGAATATATTAACAATTGTAAAAACAAGACAGAGCTATCTGGAAGCTCATCTAGTCAATCACTTTCTCCATCCTATGTTGATGTATTACTTCCTGCTCAGTCGTTTGATACGTCATCTGGATTTCCATCTTCAGATAATTTGTCTGCTAATAGGAATTTAGTAAGTTGAATTGATGAGCTGATGTAAATAATCGCAAATTTATTAGGAAATCGAAAATTATATTAGTATAAGTCAACTGAGAATGGATATCGTTTCATTATATCTAGGCAAATTCATTATCTGAAAACCATTTAAGTTATGAGTAGAAAGTCAATGAGAGTTAGTGATGTATGGTAATCCAATAAAGGTTAACCTTCATGATGAATTAACTTTTGTCGCTCTTATCATCTTAGGTTATGGAGAATACAATGCTTTTCATGTTACTGCAATGATTAATGACAACATTCATGGTTTATTTTCTTCAGATCTCTGTTTGGTAACACGTACATAGATATATGATGCTAGATACTAAGAATGTAAAATATTAGAACGCCCTAAGTTTTGGAAATATTCTGCATAAATTAGCAACCAAAAATTCAACAGCATCAATTTTTTTTACAAACATGTGGACCAGTTATTTATGTCTTATTTTTCTGAACTCTCATTTAAAGATAATACTTTTTACAAGCGTTAAGTAATTTGTATGAACATAGTTTTGCTACATCAGAAACGTTGTTTGATTTTTCGAAAAATGTCCATATTTACATTTACTTCGTAATGAGTCTGGCAATAGATATCAGTGAAAAAATAATCCATAGTCTGGGGACTATAAAAGTCAAGATAGAGTGTAAAAGGTTTAATATATTGTCTTTTCAGAATCATTTCTACCTGAAATGATTGCATATCATTAAATCTTTCAGTGTTTAGTAGTCTGTTTGTGTATATTCATAAGTAATTGTGGGGTAAGCTACTTATTAATCATCTGATTAAGATCGTTTACAATTTTGACGTTAATCCCTATACATCCTAGTGATGTTAACGAACTAGAGATCGTAGTTATGTAGACAGAAATAAGTGTTCGTAATTAGCTATGAAAAATCATATCTTCGGTGCTTATAAATGTTCTAAGCGGCGTCGATTGTATGTGGTAATCTGTTTCTAGTTTTTAGATACTTAAGAGACTATTAAGGTATTCAGTAAACGTTTTCTTGTGAAAACGATTATAATTTCACTACCAGTATTTAATCAAAGTTGCTATGCATGAAGTACAAATAATTTTCAAAGTTTGTTTTGTCTTGGTACCAAATAGTATTCAAAAGTTATGCAAACTTTGAAACGCAGCTTTGTTTAATCAGTAATTTTAAACTCTGTTACGGTTTCAGTATCTTCTATATAGAATTTTCTATAATAAATGCGACTCATTAGTTAAGAAACTGTCTTCAACCAATAATTCATAAGTTAAAAGCCGTTACCTTCATTTCGAGTAATGGAGTATTTTTATTAAGTTTTATGTGAAAGATATTACTTCAGACTAAAATGGCTCATATATTAAGTACAGATTTATGTAATCTACTTTGTACCGCACCTTTTATTTAAAGAATGCTAATAGTACTCGGCCACCAAAACTGAAGTAGGCAAAAGGCAGTTTAAACATTTGAATTATTGACTGAAAAGTCAGTCAGTTACAACGTAGATCTTACGTACGTAGATTAAAAACCAGCAACCTTCGAGTATTTTCACATCTTACCTGCTATGTTTCACAACCATAAAGTAGGACGGAGCGAACTGCTGCGCAGTACAACATTCCTTTGGTTATCGAACGGATATCTCGTCTACTCCATAAGTGACGCAAGTTGGCAAAAGCCAATAGAGCCTTCTCTATCGGTGCTGAGATTTTGTCAGTCACCAAGCTATCATCACTGATGAGACTCCCAAGATAAGTGAAGCGGTCAATGTGCTCAACTACTTCACTCCCTATCTCTAGTTCAGGTGCCAACGCAAGCCAATCCTGAAGTAACATTTTGCATATCGAGGAGGAGAATCGCATCGCGAACATGCATTGTTGCTCAGGGTAGTCAGGAGACTGCATTTTGTCAGCGTCTTCACCAAGTAGAACTAAGTCATCGGCATATTCTAAATCAACAAGTGAACCTCCTGGTAAAAGTTCAACTCCTGGAAAATCGGACGATGAAAGTGTCACCTCTGACAGCATGTCCATGATAAGGTTAAACAAGAATGGAGAAAGTGGACAGCCCTGACAAACACCACTAGAAGTAATCAATTTCGATGACAGTTCGCCATAAGCTCTAACTTGACCAGTGGTGTTTGAGTAGAGAACCTGTGTAAGGTTATGTACTTCTATGGTACGCATTTCAACGACATACACTGCCACAAAACCTCACGATCGGCAGAGTCATACACTGCCTCAAGGTCGAGGGATAAAACTATTATCGGACTCCTGACGAAGTGTGAATATATGACCTGCGCCGCCACGTCCAGACCTGAAACCATCTTGGTTTTCTCGAGTCTGCTTTTAACAAGTTGTAGTTAGGCGATGAAGTATTATCGAGGCTAACATTTGGGACACAATCTTAGTTAGACTGGTTCCTGTGTGATTGTCACGAGTGTACTTTTGTCCTTTCTCATAAATTGGGACAATCAGTAATTGAGACCAGTCGGATGGGATTATGTCGAGTTCTGAGATTGTACCTAAGATCTCAGTTAATCTAACTTCTAAAACTTGACCACCATCCTTCAAAATCTCAGGGGTCAATCTATCAAGACCCACTGATTGATTTACTGAAAAGTGAGTACTTGAACTACTAAGTCCTCGCTTTTAACTAAAGCCGGTAAATATGTATGTTCTAAGACGATAGGTTGCGTTGGTTTATTTGAATAGTATACTCTTCTCAATGATATGTTGGCATTTGTTCGTTTGGTGGTCGTTAATTGAGTAACTTAGCCCCTCAACTTTTGAACTCCATGTCAGTAGCTTTAAAACCGACTATACGACAGTTTAAATAAATAAGTTAGTACCATTCACAAACTGTCACCAATAATTATTGACTATTTCCACGTGACTACTACTTTGCATTATTCGTTTTTTTTATATCTACAAACATCCTGCTACGCATCGGACTAAAACTAATTCCGCAACCTATTAATTTTCTTCAGAATCAACATGTTAGCAGTCCTGCTGCTGAGTCTTTTTCTACTGTCTTTCAAGTCTAAGTTGGTAAAACCGTTTCTTCATCTCTTATTTGGATCCATATGCACTTTCTTAAGTTTGGCGTTTTATAGTTTCCGGCCAGATCGTATTTTGCTGAGCTATTCAGCTGTTGAGGACAAGTCTGAGTACGGGTTCAATTACTTGGAAACATAAGAGATATACAGGATATATTTATATTTGTTTTCTAGTTCTGATTTAATTTAGTTTACTGGGAAAAATTTTGTTGAGTAATCTGAGTGCGTAAATTTCATGTTTATCATTTGTATATTAGTGTTTACATTCATTATTATTATTATTATTATTATTATCACGATCACTTTTGATCACTTTCAGAATAAAAATAAAAAGCGCTCACCACGACCTTCTTCAGACCATTCAAGAAGTTATAAGAGTATCCAGGATTTGGAGAGAAAAAGTGTGCGTCAAAGTAGTTCTCGATATGATCTCAAACCTGTAAATACTAGATCTCCAATCCACGATCCCGTTCCTTTATCAAAAATGTATCGTGTTGGTCAATACTTATCTGAGTCTTCCTCCATATTATCTGTAACTGATCCGGATGATATCAGTAATCCTAATGATAACATTCATCCTGAAAGGACCCCTGTTCATGTAAGTGATGATACACGAGACTATGACTATAGAAAAATCTCGAAGTTGGCCGCAAAAATATCTCATTATCTTGAAAACTGTAGAGAGACTGAAGTTAAACATTTTATGAATAAAATACTACGTAAGCCTGAATCAAGGCGCATTGTTGATGAATTAATACATTTGTGTGGAAATAAGTTACAAAAATTGCTGAATCATAATGTAAGTTGTTGCAACTGTCTAATTCTTTAAAGTAATATCTATCACTGAAATTAATTAACCTATTGGGTACTATTTGTAGATTTTTCAAATTTCTGGTTCTCGAAGTTTTTTTTATGGGCTAAATACAGCTAATATCTGCCATAATTTTTTTGTTTATCAAACGATTCTTTTACGCAGTCGATTTTTCACGTATCGGATTTGGAAAGCATAAACAACAATGCTTGTTTCACAGAACATATAGTTGAATGAAAGTCGGGAAAAATGTGCTACGCTGTGGCCTATGCTATCGATATCCATTTAGATAGATATTACCGAATGTATATGGGGCAGAAGGGTGGTATATAAAGTGTATTGAATGTCAAGTTCCTGAATTTTTGTGCTGTCACTACGTGTTTATTATTTTAACACACCATGAACACTACTTTTAAAAAATATCTAATCTCATATGAATATTCAACAGTCTGTTGAACTTGGCGTTTTTCCGTAGTGTTTTATGTGTAAAAGATTAACGGGTTACTATTCAGTATCCGTTAAATTTGACTTGTTCGTTTGTTTCTTAAAAAAATCAAATATCACTCTCTGAGGTAGTTACATTTTCGAGTTTGATAACACTGTTAAAGGAACAGTGAGTCTTTCGTACTACTATTTCCAACTAACTAACACAACATATGGTTCACTTCAACATATATTTAGTCCGGTGACCTCAATACGTTTGTGTGTATCAGTTCAGTCAGTCAGTCAGTCAGTCATTTACAACGTAGAACTTCGTACGTACGCACATCAGTTCAGTTTGCCATACCGCATTAGTACAGAGACGCCACTGTCAATCCGAATCCCATAGTGGTGGAGATAGTAGAAGAATAAGCGGTAAAGGAGAATATTAGGCATCGAAGATATTATTCAAGAAGTATAGTTCAGTGGGATAAATTTAGAAAGAGAAAGATAGAGATGATGAATTGAGAAGATTAGGATTTGAGAGAACACAAAGAGTGGAAGCATCTGCGCCATTGCAAACGATTTTGAGCCATGTCGTTCAAGTTCTCTAACCATCGGTGACTTTTGCCTCGCGAACCCCAACCAGGTAGCCTACACCCACCAACATGACTCAGTCCACTTGTCAATAATTTCATGGATTTCTGCCATGTCTTGGTTTGGCCGCCCCGAGCTTTCTTCCAACCTACTCTTATATCACAAAACAGCTCGTCGAGACAGTTTATCAGTTAGATTAGCTGTGAGGGCAAGGCAAAGTTGCACTAATTACTATTCAGTTAGCGATTAGTGAAGTTCCAGGATAATTCAGTTAGTTACTTAATGTAATGCCGATTTATTTACTTTAACAGATGGATACATTGGATAACGTACAAAAATATTCAACTTCATCTTCGGTGCACCTTGGAGCGTCACTTTCTGACTTAAGGACGTCACACACGCTTGATTCTGATCTGTACAGAAATGCCATTTCACATAGACGAGATAGCTGTGGAAGTGTACTTTCTTCACCTTGGAATATTACCTCTTACGATCGTTCCTGCGCTCCTGTGTCACATAATCGGTCTACTCTTGGGTGTTCTCACAAATTATTACATTTTCCAAAGAAACATATTTCTTCTTTATACTCACCTAATACTGTTCGTTACATTAAATGGTCTTCTAATGGATGTATTCAAAGCAAACCACCCTCATTACCACCTCCACCTCCTCCTGTACCCCCAGTTCTTCTTAAAATAACAATTTTACCACCAGATGATCGAATTCATGTTATCGATGTGCATGCGATTGGAGTAAGTTTTCAGCTTTTTTTCAAGGTATATTTATTCTACATGCATGTTGTGCTTTCTGTTCGTTGGACAGATGTCTCGTGTTTTGATTTATTTCATTTGTTTAATGACAATGTATATTCCAGTGGTTGAGTGTATGGTTTGTGTATATTACTAATTTATGCTGTGCACACAGATGAGATTATTTTAAGCGATACCGTTTCCATTTCTGATCCTGCTTATATATGGTAAAAAAATAGGAAATAGCATTTCTTGGTTTCAGTGAAATTGTTACCTTCGTTTTTCTTTCTGCAGATGTTTTTCCACAAACATATGATAACTGTCTTCAATGAGTAGTGTTGATATTTCGAAGTTGTTTACATTGAGTCGTTGTTTAGCTTAGTAATTACCATCGTCTAACTTTGTTTGCTTTTCTCTAGTATATTTTCTAACCAAACATTTGCCACGAAACTATGTTTCAGGCTACTAACCGTGTTCATATGACGTTTTCCGAACTGATTTCTGATCTGACCACTGGTATGGATAACGAAGTTGAAGTTATACGGTAAGTTGTTCTCTGTAATATTAAATAATTAAAACTTTTACTCAACAGCTGATTTCTGCGAAAATGATTTGATTCTCTAGTTATGCACAACTCCAGTTCTTATAGAAAATAAGATGAATCTAACTCACTCTATTATCAAAACTTTCGGCTTCATAAAACAGAGTTTGAATACCATTATTAATATTGATCCATTTGCATCAAGTTGAGAATATTCATAAGTGGTAAATCAGTGTTGAGGAAGAGTCCGCATCAAGTTATCAATAGAAATATATTATACGATGCCTTCGAAACATAGGGAACTTGAAGAGTTGACTAAAAACTTGATAGAAGCAGCTGTAACACATTGTTGTGGATTGAAAGGGAAATTCATGAACTATTGTTATCATCTGCACAATTAAACCCATAAGTGATTGATGTAAATCTGTTTTTGGTCCCATCAAACGAACTATATTGTTCAAGTATGAAGTATTCGTTAGATGCTGAACTGTGTACATTGGCTCAGTCAGTCAATCAGATACAACGAAAAACTTCGTACGTGAGTACGTCAGTTCAAGTTGCCAGCACATAAAGTTCGGAGTGTCGATTCAAATCCCATCACAATAGCTGTAGCATACGTATTAGCGGTAATGAAGATGAAGGTGATGATGAATTCACAAGATAGGAATTCGAGAGAAAACAGAACAGATACATCTGGGCCATCGCAAACAATTTTGAGCCATGTCATTCTAAGTCTCTAACCGTCGGTTAGCATTGTCTTACGGATCCCAACAAGATAGTCTACATCTACCATCATGACTCAGTCCGGTTATCAAAGACTTCATGGATTTGTATTATGTTTTGGTTTGACCGCCTCTAGCTTTCTTCCAGGCGACCTCTACACCAAAAAACATCGCTCGTCAAGGGAGTTGATGGAGGAACACTGCTTACATGGAGTCCTAGGATATAAGGACGATGCATCGAAGACGCCTACAATCGAATACTAATAACCTACGAATATCCTCAACTCTCACCTGCTATGTTCCAAAGCCATAAAGTAGGATGAATCGAACTGCTCTGTAGTACACCAGTCCTTTGGTTATCGAACGGATATCTCGCCTACTCCCACCAGCATATTCTAAATCAACAAGTGAACCTCCTGGTAAAATTTCAACTCCTGGAAAATCGGACGATGAAAGTGTCACCTCTGAAAGCATGTCTATAACATTGTTAACCAAGAATGGAGAAAGTGGACAGCCCCGACATACACCACTAGAAGTAACCTGTCCAACCTCATTAAGAGCTGGAGTACTTGCATCAACTTGCCATCCAGGTTGATTGAAGATGGTGTATAACCGAATTGTGATTGAAGGCCAATTAGACCGCTCCGTATAGTGTTCTGCCCATTGACATAATTTACTGGATTAAGGATCAATAATAGTTCTATTGCTTTCCCAAACCACCAATGTTGGCGGTCGTTGCGTAGGCTTCCTATCAGCCTGCACTTAAGCTGACTCCGCTTTTCGTCATGTTCAGTGCCAGATGGGATTAGTTTTCGAGCATCTATCAATTCAATAGATTGTGCTGAAATCCACTGCTTCTCCTTAACTTTTTGTTTACCTTATTGGCAGATATCAATGTTGTTTGCCCAGCTATTTGGATATTATTCCAAGCTGCTTCGAGGTGGGCATCACTTACTACATGGCTGCCTAACTGGTTTTCTAGTTGCTCCTGAAATACCCTAAGAGGTTTCTTCGCTGTCTTTTCTACGTCCTATAAATCGCATTCAAAATGTGTTTGCACTAGAGCATGATCTGAATCTAAACAATCGCTGCAGAATGAGTAGCAGTCTTTTATTGTACCACTCCATCAGTTGCTGATATCGATGTGGTCTAGTTGTGTCCACCATTGAATTGACGATGGGGCTCTCCATGCCAGAGGATGTTTTTCCTTATGCTTAGTATTTGTCAAAAATAGGTGATTATGTGAGCGTGGTTACAGCAGACGGTCGCCATAATCTGTTCTTTGAGTTGCGACATCTCAAAATCCATCTCAATCTCCCTCCTTTTCGCTTGGTCTATCTACTTGAGCATTAAATTCACCAGCCCTTACTACTACACCAGAGCACCTAACGTTTTGAAGGAGGTCCGTAAGCTCTCTGTAAACTCACCTTTTACTTCATGAAAACTGCAATCAGTGGGAGCTAAGGCAACGACGAGTGTGCCTATCTTTCCGAGCCCTTACTGTTCCGTTAAGTCGGACGACGCACAAGCGACTATCTACTGGAATCCAGTCTAAGATAGCTGGTTCTGATTTAGAACTCAATGCTGTGCCTACGCTAGCGCGATCATGGGAGGTATCGGCGGGGGCTCCCAGGAACACGAAGCGCAAATCGAGTCTGTTCCTTATCTCGAAATGGAGAGGTCGAACGAATGATTGTAATTGGATCCTGTATGTGCGTTTTGGAGACGCAACATACGTCGATGGCCCTGGATTCTAGAGTCCATGCTAAGGAAGCTCGATTCCCTATTCAGTACAAGGTCCGGACATTCAAGGCTCCAGCATGTATTTGAAATCGGTGTTTCAAGAGACCAGGAACAGTGTTTCTTATACTCGAATGGTTTGCATCAGCGGCACAAGGTGATGAAGTAACATGAGATGGTTTAGTCGTGGAGGTAGCAGAGTTAATCTGAGGTTTGGGAAGGATTCGATTGTGACCACTTTGGTCTCGTGTGCTCTTATGTATATGAGGGCGGATGTCACTTTCCGGACGCTCACACCGTGCAAGTGTGTTTCCTGAAGAACTCGAAAAGGAAATCGGATAACCGTTGGTCTTAGCGACCTGGGAGCTCACGGGACATTTGCTTGGTGCGATCTTGCACGGCTCTTTTATGAGTAGTTTTTAATGTGTGAGCTCCACTCTTCAAAAGTTTGTGACCGTGAGGTTAGATGAGGTGTGAAATTCTTACGGTCGAAATTTTCTAACTCCTTTCTTAGCATTGCTACAGGTGCTAGTTGTCCTATGGAAACACCTTGTTGCCGTATCATCCCTCTACAGTCAGCACTATGATTTAGCCTTCAGATCTTAATTTTCTGCTTTTAGTCTTATCGTCATGAAGCCGAGGTGATTGGCATGGTAGAGAACCCAAAGGAGCATGTGTTTCAGGCGGTATAGTTCGGTCAGGTCATCACGATATGGAATCCTGACCATTACTTCAAGGTAGCAGCTTCGCTTGTTAACGTTGGTTATGGGAAGGTTAATATTTTATGTGTTCATTCCTCTTTTTGTACATTAGATGCATTTAAGTATTAGGGTATTTATAGAAGAACCTTTTTTTCCTATTTTGATCGTTTTAGTTTTTTCACATTCTGTTGAATTCCAGTGAATATGATTATGAAGTCAGTATGTTAGCGTTTGTGCACAAGATACATCACCACGACAGATCACTTTTGGTTCTCTTGATATTATGCTTACTGAAAGAAACATTTATCATACATTCTTTACCGTAAATGTTTATTCTCATAATGAGCACAGTGTAACATTTTTCAAAATTTACTTTCTAGTTCTCTTTATCGATGGACTACTGCTAAAGATATTAGATTTGAAGATTATGATACAGAAGCCCCATCTGATTCATTGATTGGAATGTTAAGACAGATGAAATACAATCAATTATCGCGTAACGAAATGTTTTATGAACTATGTCGGTACGTGTTTCACCTTTTAATTAAGAAGCTTTATAAATCTATTCGTGTAAAGCACTTTAGGCTGTTACTCACTTCTGATTAAACTATTTGGTGATTGCTTTGTGACTTCTCGAATTGTCGCAATTGCACTGCTATATATGATATGTAATTAGGCGTTATAATTTTTCCATCATCAGTTAACGGAATTTTTGGTCAGTCTAATTAAATACAAATCAAAGGATAGTTGCATGATCCATCTTTGTCATATATGTCGGAAAAATACATGACTTCAGAATAAACTTGAATTTTTATTATGGATAATTCACTTTCTAATAAAAGAAAAAAATACTCAATATTAATGGAGTAGCTTTTAAACTACGTCGAAGTTTTTCACTTATCTAGTTCCTATATTCGAATTTCTATGATTCTATAGAAGTATGTCAACAGAATCAGAGGTATGAACTGTCAACTTTATACATGAAGCTTATTCCGACTATTGACTAAAATTTACAGTTTCATTCATGTGCATGGGTGAAATTCAGTTGATTTGTGTTAGGGTGCCTCAGGAATACATCGATAGGGTCTTCAAAAACTACGACAAGGCTGCGAACGGGCTTTTCAATCAGGACACAACACAGAAGCCTATAGAAAATAGACAGGTTAGACTGGAGTTTGGTTTTCTGAAATGAAACTCGTACTTGTATCCAAGAGTTTATATTTATTCCCGGGCTCGAACTCAGCACCGTCCTATTCAAACACCATAGCTTTATCCACCTGTCTCCTGAGTTGAGGTAGCTACTGGCTTGTGAAATAAGGTGATGAAACTCACAACGTGGATTTCGCTGCTAGCTCGCATCCATTTCTGTCTAAAAGCGCTTGTGACTTGGTGGCAGTATTCAGGCAATCAACATAGGATGCACAAAAACACTGGCTAAATGCAGTCCTAAACATTAGTGTAAAAATTCAAACGCCAAACACAAACACACCGAAAATACTAACTTAAAATATGGTTCTAATATCCAACTTTGCACGCCATAAATCGCCTTGACCATCAACTGACCTGTCACGTTCGCTTATTATACTATGTCTAACTTTACCATTACCCATCCTTCCACTATACATGAGCAGTGTTTCTTAGGCATCAATGATCGATAACCCGAAACTTAAGAACGTTTTATGTCTTCGTAGATCATATTTTACAGCCATAGAATAATATAGAGTGAACTATTGCTTAGTATGAACTCGGTCTTTAGTTGGAAGACAGTTATCTTGCACATACCATAAAGGCAACCTAAGTTGGCGAAAGCCAACCAAATCTTCTAAATCAGTGCAGTGATTTCGTCAGATACCAAGTAGTTAGGGCCAATAAAGCGTCCATGGTAATCAGAGTGGTCTACTCACTCAACCACTCACTCAATCTTAGCAACCGTGGTTGGCGCGGGTCAAATCCTCAAATCATACCTAAGAGTTTGTATCCTCCTATATGATTCTTTCTCGAAGTGTGAATTAGTTTCTTCAGTAGTCTGACTTATTTCATTATGTAATCCAAATAACTTGTTTAAAATTCATTGCTTTCGTAATAAGATTACTGGGATAAAATAATTGACTGAATGCATAGGTGTATTATTTATGTTTTGTCTGGTATCGTCCATCTAAAGTGTGACCAAAATATTTGCACAGTTTTAATAAATTTATTTATTTTTATCCAGATATGCTGGATTACAGTGTCAATACATAACTGGTTATTCTAAAGGTGCTGGATACCGTCCAGGGATGCCGATTAGAGATAATCGGCTTTTTCGTAATACTTGGCTTGCAGTGTACATTTGTGATGGTTGGCGTTTTGTAAATTGTAATTGGGGTGCTCGTTATTTATCAGAAAGTAAATCTTATTCCCTATTAATTGTTTTAATGTTCTTGAATATTCACTTTAAAAACCGTTATACATGCATCTAGCATTTCATTCTCCGATATCTTTCTATCTATCAATTCATATGAGCTAAAACAAAGATGCTCACCGAATATAAATATTTGTCTATATGATTATCCTTTAACTTAACTTCCAAAATATCAAGTATAGTTCGTAGTTCGATAGTTTTATTTGTACGAACAGTGTGACTCAATTATATGGAATATATTGTTTCCATTTATGTTTATGTTTCGAAAAGTCTCATATACCAGTCAGGAGAATAGCTTATAAGTAGAAAAACAGATTTTGACCGAATTTAAACTATCTTAATGTCCATGTTACTGGTCGTAGTAATCTGTGATTGGCTAATATGAACGGTGATAGATATTTTTGTATTATCTTGTTAATCATAATTTTTCAAACCTTGCTATTTATCATAATTCAATATACCTTACTCAGACCTATACTGTGTTTCTGAATAATCTGTGGTTGAACAGTAAGAGAATTGTTTCATGGTTGGATTTATAGTGCCTTCTGAGTAAGATACTCTGTATGCTATATGGAAAATTGCTCATCTTTGGTTAAAAGTCGTTGAAACTTTAAAATCAAATTTTCTTGACTCATGAAGCTTCATTCATTGCACGATAACCATCTGTAGAATCGATAATGAGGTAAACAGATTTACAGAAAGAACCGTTAAAAGCTGTTTCATATATGTTGTATTGGGGAATTTCAGATTTGCTAGTGACACAGAACAGAAATTTCGTCCCTTGATCAAATTTACTTAGCCTGATGTCCTTAAGTCGTAAGGTAATAAAAGAAGACGGAAGCCCAAGTGCGACAAGCAATTTATTTGATGAAAACGCAATCTACGAACCAAAAGTTGTACAACGTATAATGAAAGTTCTTTTGATAAACCGGCGTATTCTTAGCTGTCTTCTGTTCCTCAAAACATCTAGATCGCTGCGTAAATCCTGATCAGATACTCTGTGACAATCCACTTTATACTATCAATAAGCTTCACCGTAAGTAATGCATACCACAGTAGCTCTTCAATTTGTATCAGGAATAAATATTTCCACCACATTCGAGAGCCTACAGATTTAAGAGTGTCAATTCAATCATCAACTGACCGACGTTGCACCACCGTTGGGACAGTGCGTATCCACGACCTCGTGAGCGGGAATCGAACCAAGGACTTCCGGTCGTGCATCCAAACGCTTGACCTCTTGACTACTGAGCTGGCATCCGCCGGTGTCAATATCTAACTTGAATCAATCCGCAAGGGTGTGAGGCAGTTACCCACCGTAAGCGATCGATGACAGTTGCGCAATATCGTGGACCAGTTCATGAGTTCGATCAAATTTAAGAGTGCACTGTTGAAATTTCTTGATCAGTTTGCTCAACTAATCCTTTTTCTTTACGACTGGTTTAATCTGTAGATTTACTAGACAACCGTTCATCTTCATCTGAGTGTGATGAATTCTATTTCCTAACTGATCCAGAACAACATGTTTTCGAGAGTTTTCCTGATTTAAAAGTATGGCAATTATTACGCAAACCATTGAGTATGGATCGATTTTGTCACTTACCACTACTTAAATCGCCATTTTTCAATGCTAATCTATCTCTGAAAAAGAATTACTCGGATTGTTTAATTACCAAAAATGGACAGGTAATTTCTATACTTTATACGATATGCTATCCGCACCAATCGCTTTTTGTCTTGCAGCATTTGATTTTATTCTTTGTATATTAGGATGCGGAAGTAGTATGTTTCCACCCAAAGACAGTGGAAGAAATAGCTAGCCTCTGAATTGGAACTTCAATTTGATTTTCTATGGCTTTCCTTCGAATAAAGAGTTTAATTCAGTTCGTTAAAAAGGAAGCTACAATAACGTGAATAGTTTTACCCAGTTTTTGTTCAGCCTTTCTTTTTATAGGTGCGTAGTTTAAGAATAGTAAAAATATAACTATTGTTATGAAATGGACATTTAGATTGTAAGAGCTTCTTTTTTGATAAGTTCACTCTTATGACTTATTTATTGTACTAAACTATAATTTTTCCTTTGAGCTTTGCAAGCTTATAGTGATGATTGATTACTTGAACCCGCAAACCCACTTCATTCATAAGCTGCCGATCTTTCATCTGTCTCTCTTACTTTTGCCTTGAGGATTCCGGGCTAGAGCATGTCTTTTGATACACTTTAATGCTTTGCACAAAACTTGACTAATCCGCATTCACAGTCTTTCCCTGATTTCCTCCTAAACTGATAACTGGTTTATTCTGCGTCAGGATAGTTTATGTCGATGTTTTCTGCCCAGTAGATATGGATTATTTTACCAAGTTGTTGATGAATGTTTGTTTTTGTTCCATCCTATTGATAATTAAGAAATGATCCACACTATCCTTGTTTGTCGGGCACTTGACTTATCCTTATGAAGGGCAACTTGTTCAGCTATCTGTGTTGAAAAGTTTGACTTGGACCGACATTAGTGGGATTCCCTTATATTTCCTATACTGAGGTTTTTCTTCGGTAATCATTGGGGTAAGCCTCTTTCCGATCTGTTGTCACTTGTTCTTCCGCCGAGATATTTTCGGAGGGAACATGTAACAATTTTGCAATAGCTTCTATATCTAACTTTGATACTTCAGCTTCTATTGCAACTTGTCCTGTTGTTTTTTCATTATTGATTTGTCTGATGGTCTTGATCAATGGTCTTTTTGTGCTGTTGTTATGTTCAATGAGTTCATAGAATCTGGTTTATTCAAGAGCTCTTTAAATTGCTCTACTTCACTTGTTCTACTGCTTTTGATTATCAATGACTGGCCGTTCTAGTCTACTGTATTTTCTTGTTAGCTTTCAAGTTCTTACATAATTCTTTCATAATTTCTCCTGTAGCTTGTCCTGCTCTTATTGTCAGGCGTTTTATATATTTTTACTAGTCAGCTGTGATGCTCTTCATCCTTTTGTTAGCTTTTTATAGACTTGTATCTGTTTTCTGTTCGGCTGTTTTTAACCACTATCTCCTAGTTTAGCCTCGACAAGCGATATTTTTTGGTGTAGGGTCGCCTGGAAGAAAGCTAGAGGCGGCCAAACCAAAACATAACACAAATCCATCAAGTCACTGACAACTGGACTGAATCATGATGGTAGATGTAGACTATCTTGTTGGGATCCGTAAGACAACGGTAACCGATGGTTAGAGACTTAGAATGACATGGCTCAAAACCGTTTGCAATGGCGCGGATACATCCATTATTTGTCTTCTCTTGAATTCTAATCATAGTCATAAACTTTCCTCTCTTTTTAAATTTATTTCACTGGGATATGCTTCTTGAATAATATCTTCGAACCCTAACGTTCTCCGTTATCTCTAATACTTCTACCCCTGTTGGATTTGGATTGACAATTGCGTCTCTGTACTAATATGGTATGCCGACTTGGATTGGTGAAATTACGTACGAAGTTTTACGTTGTAGCTGACTGTCTGATTTTCCTTTCTTCAATTTCGTGCACTATCTTACCTTTCCATACTTGCCTACTTTAGTGGTTTCTTCCTGTAGTAGATTTCGTAGTCGTTAAAACTTATTGCACAACAGTCGTAGTTCATGGTGTAGTGTACGCATCTGAAAATCTTGATAACGAGAGGATTAAAACATACAATACAAATAAATAAAAATCGTTTCTTTTTCACATGCTGTTGGATGTTAGAATCGAAGAGGTACTGGGTTCGAATCTCAGTGTAAACATCAACACTGGGATGCAGGCACATCTAATTGATGAATCACAAGCAGGATGAAACTCACTTTCTGGATTTCACTGTTACTGTCCATCCAACCGTGCCTAGAATTCGTTGTTTTTACCATTTAATTGTTCATGTCTTAGTATTGATTATTATTCTGTTCATCGTAATGCTTTTCTTCTTGTAATCATATGCGATATTTTGTACTCATCTATACAGTTCTTTTAAATACTGTCGGCTTATTAACTCTCCATATCATAGATCTCTTATACTCCGCAGTTGTTTTATTTGAATTCCTTATTGGTTGATGATAATTCCAATATAGATTTCTTTGATTTTTTTGAATGTATCAGGTGAGTGTAAAAATCAAAATGTCGAAATTTGTTGGCATTTCATGCAGTTTAGAAAACTGTGCAGATCATAGTATTCTGTTAGGGTTATGTTTAGTCGAAATCCTGTTACGACCATCAGGAACTGTACGAATTGAAGCTGCTCCATCACAACCAGGAAATTATTATTTAAATGTTTACGTTTCACCTGATTGGCGGCGTGAAGATATCAGGGAGTTGGCATGCTCATTTCAGGTCAGTTGTCATCAGTTTTCATTGTTTTTCATTTGTACGTTTGAATCTTTCAGGTTAGTTGGCTAGACAGATACCTGTAGGGTTTTTTATCATTATACCTCGTGTCAAATCTTAATATTTGTAAATAATTCTTCGATAAGTAAATTGTTTCAGTCAAATCCGTATAAATAGTTTAACTGACAAAAAAGTAGTATCATTAAATAAATTTCCATAAAAAATGATTTTGAAGCGTTGTCTTTATTATTTAGAGTATCGCTCATAGCTAAGTACCTGGAAAATAAGTTACTTTCAAGTCTACTATGTTTAATGGTATTAATCTGTGGCCTTATTTATTGCATAATAGTTTCCTAGAATCATTCTTACAAAAGAAATTGATCAATTGACGTAAGTATATTTTTCTTCTAAATTAATGCGCGTTATTTTGCCCATTAACAATACTTTTGTTTGTACATCATTACCTTCTAAACTAAACGCCTTTATAATAACGAAAGGATATAACAAACTATTTTATTTATAGCTAATATATTTTTGTCCTACACGGTTAATAAGTTAAAAGCATATTTTTATGTTTGTAAATGTAGATTTGTGTTTAGTTTACTCTTATGTAAGTAGTTTAAAATTTTTTTCTAAACTTTGGTTTGAGGTGCGTTGTTTAAAATCTTTATGTTCATAATACCTGTTATATTCCTAGTCGTCATGAACTTTTTGTCTCTCTTTCACAGATTCATTGTTCAGAGTATAATTATTCCAGACTAGTCGTGACTGGTCGACTGCCTGAAGTTGGTTTTCTTGGTCGTACACCCGCCTCAGAAGTTCATGGTGTGCTAATGGTGCCCGAAGGTGATGCGTCAAGTGGCCGACCATACATTGTGCATAGTGATCCAAGACCTTTGAGAATTCCTTTTGCTATTGCTCCTGGTCTAAAGGTTAGATCAGTTAGAAATTTTTCTTCCTATTCTTTCTCGTTTACATAATATTAAATGATCAAGCAGGTTAAGTTTAAATGGATTCATTCAGAATCCCCGTATTATATTCATTCTAGTCTTGAATAAATACTTCTCAAGTTACTTTACTAGAAAAAAAGTAGTGTAAAACCTAACGGGAATGGAATTGTTTACTTATTATGAGCGCTAGTTCCGAAGATTGATGTTGATTGTTAGTAGAAGAAAAGTTCAAATATCACAACTTTTATGTACAATAATAGGGAATTATGTTGCGATTGATAGGCAGTCCCTTATTTTATTGCTTATTATGTTACAATAATTCTATTAACTTAATTATTCCTTTCGTTAATTGTTCGCTAGGCCACGAAAATTCCAACATTTTTAAATCTCAAGTCTAAACCATATATAAACTTTAGTTGGTTCATATCTAAAACATTTTTCATACGGTGATCAATGATTTCCATCATTTAAAATTAAACCATCGTATGAGATTCGAGGAATATATGTGTTTTAGGATGATTTAAGGCATTCATTGAACATAAGTATTAAGTTTCGTGCTGATGACGCTTCATTAGTAGTTTCGTTAACCCGCTTAAAAATCACAGCTGCTTGTGCTACTGCAGAGAAACGATTTAGTTTAAAGTACAGTTTTTCTAAGCAGCTTGATTTGTCATTGTTATTCAGTAGTATGAACGTATAATTATACCTCATTTTCCCGTGCTTTTCTTAGTGCACTAGTTTCTAAATACGAACTGTGGATTAAATAACATATGCATCTCTGAGACTATTGTTCGAAAAGAATGCTGTAGCGGGGTTTGTAGAAATCGCCACATTCTGTAATTAGTGTAAGATGGAAGTAATAAATCAAGCTTCCGGTTTAAGAATGAAGTGATGTAATTTTCATGTTAAATTTATATCGGCTAAATCTGCTGTTACTTTTACTTATTTTTAGCTATGTCATCAACTAAAATCGTTCGATCGACCAGGCCATCAAATGGCCGATTGTGATAGTTATGCATTGCTTCAAATGAAACCAAGCCATCAGAGTAACATTACACATTCAAAGCCATTCGGATCTCAGGCTAATGCTTATTATCATGTTCGTCTACCTGTACAAGCGTTTTACTACTTGACTATTTATGCTTTTAATGAAAATGATATTGTCAAAGATCATCTAGATTGTGTGTATCGTATTTTAATTGATGCACGTAACTGTCGTTCTGAGTTAACTCAGGCTTATCCACGTCAAACCTTTTGGTGGGTTCATTGTCAATTAGTCGAACCTACACATCAGCATTTATTCATTAATCGGAGTTATAAATTTTGTCTAGATGCTCCACAGTGCGATTCTGTCGCTGTTGTAATCAATGGATCAGAATGGCACTTCCTTACTCCATCTTCCTCAATATCATCATCTACACTGGATTCACCATCTTGCAGTAGTCATCGGGGTCGTTGGAGTGGTAAAGTTTACACTGGCAAATGCTCAGGGCAACTATCTGTATTTGGACGTATACCTCATATGAATAAATTGAAGAAGATAACTTTAGAAAATGAATTCAGACCAGTTAATGATTCTATGCATGGTAGCCATTATGATGATGGCTATTCGAATAATAATAATAATAATAATAAGGATGGGGAAGATGATGAAGAAAATTCCTACATTAAACTTTTAGATTATATTCTTGTTCAAAAAGAACTGTTTAGCTAACAGTCTGTTTCACTTTATTGATAGTTGACCAAACAGCTTTTACAATCCGATAAAACTGAACACTTCCATTTTCTTTAAATATTTCTATTTTACGCCAACTATATTTTGTAGAGTAGCTCAACTGTCAATACTACTTGTTATTGCAATACAGTGATCATAATATTCGTGATTTATTTATTAGTTAAAAATTCTTGTAAATTCTTTACTTACACTGGTTATATTGTGTGTATTTAAATGTCTTGAGAAGAAAAAAGTTGAAATTATGCTCGGACATTTATTTTTTCACTTATATGTGAGAAAATTTATTAGTTTTTGTTAACCATATCAATATATTTGTTTATTTACTGTTATTTTGTTGTCGACACTGTTTATTTTGCGTGTATTTAGTAGTATTCCGTCAGTTTTATTTCTAGTGGAAAGAAACACTCACTGAAGTAGTCATAATCTATAGAGAAGTAGAGAGAATCACAAAAATTATCGACTTTTGATTGTGTTTATTACGCTTCACTTTCTTTGTTTGTGAAGAAATTTATTCCGCTAATTAGCAAAACCATATTTTTTTTTCCACTTCTAGTTGATTAATCTGGTTTTCCAGTCGAATGATTTCTCTATTTTGTAGTAGTAAACAACACTACTTTATTGAACGAAAATAATCACTTCATTTCCTCTGATGTGATGCATTACACTGAACTGAAATCGACTCACTGAGAATGCACAGTTTAGTAGTTTTTTTTTTTTGCCTGCCAACATTCCAGTAAAAATGATCATTTATTATTATTAATCTGATTTGATTGTATTTTCGTTTCCCATTCAATACAAATATGGTATTAGTATTATTTTTAAAAACGTGCTACCGTATTTCTTTACGCACATTCAGAAAGAGAAATGTGTTTTCTTTTGGAAATGTTTTCTAATTCTTAATTGATTATTAACTCGTATTTATTCACTAGATTCTATATTTATTTATATTTTAGCATTTATAATAGTACGAAATCTATATGCATATTTATTGTAACTGTATGCATAGCTAACATGTAATTAGTTTTTTTTTTTGTTAATTGTTTCCCTCTTGCCTTATACATATATATCAGTAATCATGTAGTTCCAAATTAATCAGTGATGCCGCAGCTTACTCACAACGGCCAACTTTTTTAAAGTTTGTTTAATATAAAATAAAAAAGATAGTACGAAATCCAATAATTACTCGTTTTTCTTTTCCGTCATTTTACGTTTGTATATTGTGTATGTGCTGTGATACATTTGTGCTCACTTGATTGGCTTAAATGTTGTATAGTTTACTTATATTTTCAAACATGATATGCACAAAGAACAATAAAATACTTAAAAATGACTAGTAGTAAATAATTCACAAGTATTATTGCTCACTGTGATATTGAGTGGTGCGGGACCAAATCCTACCAGGAGCATCCTTTTTTTCAGATTTGACATATTGTTCGTCGATATGCGCCAGCTTTCATTAAATTAGATTCCAACCACCATTCATCAAAAACTCTGTGAGTACGATTAAAAGGAAACATAACTCCTAGCAGTTTAAGTTTAAACCACATATTTGGAGTAGCATTTTGAGTTTTAAAAATTCAACTAACCGAGAAAAATTTCAGTCAACCAGAGAGTCTATTTAAAACAATGAAAATCAGTTCTGAGACTTTCAAGATAAATGAAAGAGGAGAATAGGAAATGTCCTTAACTTTCAGTTAAGTAGAAAAGACTAAACTCTGGAGCCCCTCTAGGGCTACTGCCGATCCCAAGCCCGGATAAAAGATTATTGGCGACCCCATTCCGTAGAAAACTAACTCACTAAAAAACGTTAACCTGTTAAACTCCTCCCTGGGAGTTATAAGGTTTTCATTCATAAGAGTTATGACGTCTCATGATTAGCGCTGAGTTCCTTCGAAGTCACAAGCCCATTGCCTATTCTGACCAACAGAACAACCATCAACTTGGGTACATGGAATATTTGAACAATATGGGAGACCGGAAGACTGTTCCAAATATACAGCTTGGTGGTGCTTGGAATCAGTGAAACGCATTGGTCGCAAGTTGGACAACCGAAACTAGTTTCAGGAGAGCTGCTGTTATACTCCGACCGTGAGGAAAAAAATGCCTCACACACAGGGAGTCGTACTGATGCTGTCCAAACAAACACAAAAGGCACTTAGAGGATGGGAATCTTATGTACCCAGGATCATCAAAGCATCCCACAGAACGAAGAAAGAGGGCATTACAGTAAACGTCATCCAATGCTATGCTCCTAACAACGACTACAATGAAGACGTTAAGGACCAATTCTACGAGTGGCTGCAGTAAATCGTCGACAGATGCGCACCAAAGGATTTGACGATTCTGATGAAAGACCTTAATGCCAATGTTGAAAATGGACAACACCGGATATGAAGACATCGTGGAACGACATGGACTGAGATAAAAGAACGAAAATGGTGGGAGGTTCACTAACCTATGTGCCTTCAACGAACTGTTTATCAGCGGCACAATATTCCCACATATACGAATACACAAAGGTAGATGGATTTCACCGGATCACAGTACTCAGAACCAAATCCACCATATCTCTATTAACAACAAGTTCCCAATGACTAGGGAGGACCTGAGAACCAAGAAAGGAGCTTATACAGCCACAGATCACCACTTGCTGGTCGCCAAAATAAAACTCAAACCCAGGAAGCACTGGAAAACGGTGCAGCGGGACCAGAAAACATCTCAGATGAGGCAGCAAATACAAATATACTCCACATTCTCTTCAACAACATTTGGGATGAAGAACAAGTACCAAAAGACTGGAAAGGGTACCTGGTCACAATACCAAAGAATAGCGATCTCAGCAAGTTTGAGAACCACAGAGGAATCACTCTTCCCTCAATACAAGGCAAAGTCTTCAACAGGGTGGTTTTAAACAGAATGAAGGGTTTCGTAGACGCCCAACTTCGAGGTCAATAGGCTTCATTTCGTAAGGATCGATCGTGTGCCGACCAAATTTGCTACATCGCGGACCATTGTGGAGCAATCAGTTGGATGGAGTTCACCACTATACGTCAACTTCATTGAGTGAGAGAAAGCATTTAATAGTGTGGACAAGAAAACACTGGAGGCTCCTTCGAAACTACTACTGAAGGTTTTTTCAGTATTATGGCGTCGCTGAGAAAATAGTCAACGTCATACGGAATTGTTATGGTGGATTAAACTGCGAATTCGTGCAGACTCGTTCGAGGTGGAGACCGGTGTCAGTCAAGGTTGCTTACTCTCATCCTTTCTCTTTCTCCTAGTGATCGATTGGATTATGAATACATCAACATCTGGGGGGAAGCATGGTATACATTGGACAGACAGGATGCAGCTGGATGGTTTGGACTTCACAGGTGATCTAGCTCTTCTATCTCACACGCAACAATAAATGCAAGAGAAGACGATCAGTCTTAAGCAGCCTTAGCAGCAGCAGTTCTCAACATACAAAAAGAGAAGCAGGATTCTGCGATACCACACAACATGCGCCAAACAAATCACTCTTGATGGAAATGCCTTGGAGGTCGCAAAATCTTTACATATCTGAGCAACATCATTGACAATCAAGGTGGATCCGATGTTGACTCGAAGGCACGGATGGGGAAAGCAAGGCTAGCATTTCTACAATCGAAGAACATCTGGAACTCCAAACGCCTATCAACCAACTCCAAAATCAGAATTTTCAGTACAAATGTCAAGACAGATCTACTGTGTGTTGCGTAAACTTGGTAAACTACCAAAGCCATCATCCAGAATATTCAGATATTCATTAACAGTTGTCTACGCAAAATACTTCGGATCATCATCAGCAACAACGTACTGTGGGAGAGAGCAAACCAGATTGCAGCGGAGGAGGATATCAGGAAGAGGCACTGGAAGTGGATCGGGCACACTGTGGAAAGTAACCAACTGCGTCACACGACAAGCCCTCACTGTCAAAGGAAAAGAGGGAGTCCATGGGACACATTACGTCGATAAATGGAGGCAGATATGAGAAGAATGATCAAAAATTGGACAGAACTAGAAGCCCATGACAGCGTAGGCTGGAGAATACTGGTCAGCGACCTTTGCTTTATTGGGGTAACAGGCGTAATAAGTAAGAAGAGACGAACTATATTTAAACTCAGGTTCAATACGGATTACACATTACATTATACGGATTACACTCGGGTCAATTAGCAATCAACAAACACATCGACATTGACCCAACTTATCAACCAATCAGGAAAATTATAGGTGACATAGAATCAAGAAACAGATCAAAAGGGAGATGCAATCAAAACAGAGGTGCAAACAACGACAGGTTTAAGGTCAACAGCAACCAATCAAGATCGAGGTTAGCGAACAAGCTACAGGTCAAACGTGTAGAAATTCGAATGCTTTACTTTCATCTGAAGTTTGTGCTGATGATGTTGTTCAGAATAACAATGAAAGCTCCACAACCAAAACACCTAGCTCAGAGAACCAAACACCACCACCTCGGATTACACAGCACATCAATGTCAGAAAGATTCAAAAGAACGACGCCTTTATTAATAATTTGGACGTTCATCGTCGCATCGACCTCCACTGATGTAGACTGATTGAATGCTGTTCTAACTGGTGTTTTAAAATAGTGCTGAAAGGAAAGTCCCTGTCAGTTCAAAATTAAGTACTAAACTTCTATTATGTTGATCGATTTCGTATTACTTACCTTTTATATAGCTTGCTGTCAAGTCAGAATCTGTTTGAATCTTCAAGACAGCTTTTGAATAATCCACCCATTCACATTTAAAAGTTGCTAACCCATCGCAGTTTTGATTGTTAATTTGTGGCTTATTCAGGATACTTAGTTTTCGATAGAATTCCAGGTATGGTTGTGGCTTTTGTCAATCTAGCCACTTATTAAGGAAATCTTATATTGATGAAACTCGAGTAAATATCCTTAACATCAGTTTGGAACCGAGTTAGTAATCACATTTACCAGAATATGAATTTTGTTATCCCTCGCTGAACTAAACTATATTAGTAGTAAAACATTCCTCTCGAAAACAAGGATCAATATACGTTTTAGGTTTACCTAGCTGTTCGTTTTCCAGGGATTTGATATTTAATCTAGTGTACCTAGTCTTTGATATTCTAATTGGTTGGTTGACTACAAAGCAATGCTAGATCGTATTTCACTGAACGTAGTCTATGGTATAGAAGAGTTTCATGAAACCAAAGTTGATTATGGCACAGCTAGTTTGGTTAATAACTGAGACTTGTAACGTATTTACGCGGACATGGACTGCATCTTGTATATGAAAATGTAATAAAATGGTATGTTTTGGATATTCCCACTCAGTTTTACAAAATACACGTGGTTTAACTAAGATTATTTTTTTCTAACATCACATTTCGATATATTTAGTTTATTCTCATAATTATGTTTTATAGCTATTGTTTAAACATCCCAGATATGCATTTCAAAATCAATCAGGATTTCGCTAAAAACTACAACCGATATCGACAAAAGGAAGAATACGAGAAATTAAAGGCTAAGCATGGTGATAAACTGAAAGATATTAAGCTATCCAACTTAACTGATGCTGATTTAAAACCGGATAAAGATAATGCTCTAGTTTCAGATGACGATGATGAGTCTACTTCCTCAATTTCTTCAGACACTGATGTTAGTTGGGAAGAAAAGCAGCAAGATGATTTCTTAAATTTATATCAAGCTCTATGCACTAATGATCCATCCCTCAATGATCCTAATAAACAATGGTTTCGTGAACCTAGTGAATCATCAGATGATAGTAGTTCAAAGTCCACAGATGAGATTTCTGATTCGGAAATTAGTAAAAATAACAACACACAAAAACAAATGGATGTTAAGAGAACAAAGAAACACGTTTTGAAACTTCGAGATTATGAACGTGAATTTCTGTTAACTCAAAATGGCTTGGAGGATGAAACTGTTTCAAAGGAGGCGGAAAAAATCGCGCAGATGGAAAGTGACGATGTTTTGAAAAAACTGGAAAAACAGTCAACAGATTTATCAAAGAAACAATTTATTCTGTAAGTGCTAGCATATTTTAAGACATATTATAGGGTTGTAAAGCGATTGAAGCTCTTGTGGGGTCATGGATGCACACTGCTACTGAGTCTCATATTAGGAAAAAACGGCCGTCGAGTGCTTCGAGGTTTCCAATGGTCGCTTAAAGTTGATTGATTTGTGATTTCGATTCAAAAAATTGTGTCAAAATTTAACACTACAGTGAGAGACCATGAAAAGCTATCATCACCTGAGGATTTATTCCAGATGCTTTACAAAATTTTGGATTTGAATGTGATCCTGTATCCAATACTAACCTTCTTCATTCTGATCAATAAAAGACAGATACTTGCTTTCCTAATTAGGTAGAGCTCAGAAACCATAGATCACGTTTTTAGTCTGGATATAAGTCTATGGACTAATGTCTTACACTTAAGATCTCAAACACTCATGTGTGTTACCATCCAACTAAACATAATGCTCCTCATATGAACCCGTTATGTGAGATATCTCATAGCTGCTTTGTCTTTTAAAGTTGTTTAAAATGTACAGTATTGCCAGGTTAATCTTTGGCAGCATTTCGTCGAAATCGATACTTCACATAGTAATGGATATATTACAAAAAGTAATTCTTCTTATTTTTGATAGATCTATCATTCACAGATATTTTTTCGTCTGTTTGAAGCAAGTAGACGACATCATGTTTGTTGTATATTCTGATAAAATACTGAGATTTCCGAACACTGAATAGAAGTGTGTGATTGTATTGACTGTGATTTTACTTCTAGTTCCAGGATCAGTAGTAAAGTAACTGAGTGCGTTTGTTATGTTCTTGATAAGCACTAATATATGGATGTTTGAAAAAAATTCTGGAACATATACTGGATACTTGTACGAACTTCACTAATTTATATCACGTGAAGCATAGCTGAGTTATCATTCTGGTTATCAAAGCGCTAGCATTCTTCTCAAGTTTTAGACCTAACTCGGCACGAAAACTAAGTGGTGTAACACAAACCCATTCGTACTTACATACATTGATATTAATTCTCTGAACTGTATTGTTTCTTATTTGTCATTCTTTGATTCCTTCTTTCCCATTAATCCCTTATTCTTTTGTTTTACTGCATTTGGTATTATTATCATGGACTTATTGTTGGCTCATTTTATTGCATCATCTAGATCTTGTATGTACGTCAAACATTAAATTATTTATTTCGAACCGCTGTCGTTGAAGATTACCGAATTTAATAGGTAAAGTTGCAATATACTAACTATCCTACTTCAAGCTAGTTGTAACCTCCAGTTTTATCAAACTTGTATCTCCTGTATCAATATCCCCATTAATTAGTTACTGAGTCCTTGATAACTAACGTATTTTTTTGGAACAGTTTCAATGTATGCCTTGCCTTCTATTTTGCTAATAGATCATTTATTCAGTCACTCAGTAACACGTTTTCAACCACATTTGTTACATTTTGAAGCATATTTTATTTATTCTTATAGAGAGGCTAATGAAGCACTCAATCAGGCGGCTATAATTTCAAATGAAATGAAGGACAATAGAAACAGTGACAGTGATAACGATGATTTGAATTTTTTACGGAAACGAAAAAGCGAAATAGAATCGCCTACTTCAAATAAAAAAAAGCGTAAATGTCAATATGTGAGTTTGATTCAGTTCTATTGTTTGTCTTTTTTTCAACGCTGTGGCGTAGTCACTTCACTATCAAAAATGCCCAACCCTTAGTAATTATTTGATATTGCATATTAGCTGTTTGATGAGTAACTGTTGAAATACTCTTATCGTTGTTCCATGTTAAGAACCTTGTTTGAGCTAATGAATTCAACAAAGCATTAAGCTAACTGCCTTTGTTTTACTTAATTATTTATTAATGACCAATAAATCAGTGATGATTGTACTATTTTTTGCTACCTAACATTTTACTAGGCTTGTAGATGGTGTAATAAGTATTAGCAATTACGTGCTTGATATTAGTTGTCACACCTCTCAAAAATAGAATTGAATTCGGACGTTTGTATGCTGTTGATAGTTAGTGACGATTACAAGTTTTGTTAAACCGAAGGTTTGTTGAATTAATTTTCTGTGCATTTTCCTCATATAGTGGAACTTCCGAATAACTAGCTCTGAGGCTAATTATATGTTACTGGAGTATGTGCTACCCGTACCCAGGCACCGTCACCAACATGCAATGTAATTTGGTTGAAATTGGCTGAAGTCGATTATGCTAAGACATTGTATCAGTTAATTTATTATTGTTTGTTATTTTTGTCTCCTTCCAGGATTTGGATAAAATAGTTTTCACTAATTCAAGTAACAAAGAAGCTGAAGAATTTCTACGTGATTACATTCTAAATAAACGTTGGATTGAACCTAATTCACAACGAAATGATAAAATCCCAACTTATTCTGATATTCTACAAGAATCTGGCCTAGATACAAATGGTGATCAAATAAAAAATCTTTTAAATGACGATGATATTCTTGATGAAGATGATGAATTCCTAGTGAAAGCAAATAATTTTGAACAAGAACGTTTACAGTCTCTAGGTGTTAACGTAAGTTTTTACAGGAATATTATTTCTAACAATCTATTCATTACTGTTGCTGTTATTTTCTACAATCTCTATCGATCAATGTTTAAAAATTTTTATTGCTGTCCATAAAATGTAAATCTTGGTGGTGGTTTTTCATCATGATAAAAAATAACGACTTTTATGAAATATTATTTCTTAGGTTTTAAACCATATTCTTGAATCCTTTAATTTTGAATTATCCAATATCCATTTTTTATCTTAATGCTTGTAACCATTTCAGTAAAGACAGATCTATTCAAAACTCTATTCCATGTTCGAAGTTGACGATCTCGAAAAAGCTTTAGCTTTACTATGTTATATACACATAAACCGACATTTACGAAGTGACTGTGTTCCCATTCATCAACATCCATTATTCTATGTAAACAAAAATGTTCAATTCTACAATTTTTTTTTTTCTTCTCTTGATGATATCGTTAATCAGGTCACAGTGTTCACATGGTTACAGCTATTCAATATAATAGAGTAATCATGACATAGTTTATCAGTTAATGATCTTTTATTACTCTTATATTGTTTTCTTTGGATAGGGTGACAAGTAATTGCAATAAAGCAATAGTGATTAAATAAAATTAATTATTTTGGGACAATTTTTCTACAGGTTTAATTGGATAGCTATATTATCATAGTCCCTGCAATATTTTTACACTTTACAATTATCTGTAAGCAATTAATTGCAAATGAACTAAGTTGAAAATCTATCTGTTTTACGTAGAGTAGCCTAAAGATATTGACTGATATTGATCGGCAAACATCCCGATCCTCTTGTCTTCTTCACTCTTTAATAATAATAGTAATAATAATGAAATGTTCTTATTTTAAGTGAGATCTTTTCATAGTGTTTCATAATAACTTTGAATAGTTTTGTCACTATTTGGATGAGAACAAAAATCAAATTGATTATTCGATTATAGTTTAACCGACAACTACTTCGGTTGTCGACTGGTGATATTCAAGCAAATTTTTCCTTATCCATTGCTCCCAGTCGTTGCCAAATAGTATCCATGTTCTGGGTTCAAATCTCCGGTTCCTGATTTTATGCAGTTTTGGCCTGTTTCGCTTCCTCCAAGTTACGGTTTGCCTTGTTACAGAATTTATCGGTTTCCGCTGATTGTGCCCTATCCATGCAATTTATTTCTCAGCTGACAACTAATTTGTCCCTTCCCAGATTATTTTATTTTGATGGTCTTTGCAAGTGAATCTTTTGTATATTCTGAAGGCAGCTAATTTCAGTGATGGTGATGATAGTTTACTAAGTTTTAGTTCCGTATTATACGACTGTTTAGACGTGTGTTGAGGATTTTCTTTTTTTTCTTTGGTGATAGTTCTTTTGAAAGAAAACGGTATCAAACATAGTACTGCTTGTCCAACTTTCAGCATGGGTTTTAGGTTGGCCACCATGAAGTGGTGATCTGTAGCTACATAAGCTCCTTCCTTTGTTTCAACGTCACTACTGGATGTTCTGGATACTTGATCTCGTTTTCTTTTTTCTGGTTTGATGAAACATATATAGCTTTGTGAATGCATTGTGGAACGAAGCACTGCTGCTTGTGACAACGTCATTCAAAGCATATGGGTATGCCGGTCTGTTACCATTCTCAATTATCGCCCGGTCATTCATTCCTATTTAGTGTTATACATCTTGACCATGGCGTCCAAGCTATTCATCTTAATGGTTAGGTGTTTTCCTTGTCTTCTATCTAGGATGGACTGAAATCTCATGAAACTAGTCTTTATCGTCTTCATGATAAATATTTGTAAGTGCATGGCAGTGGACGATATTGATTTTAATCACTCTCTTCTTTGTTTTTGACGATGTTTTGATAGTTCTGGAGCCGTGAGTTTTTCATCTTTAGAGTACGCTTAATACTTCTTTGGAAAGCATCAGTTCAGCTGGTTGTGTGTGGGATATTTTCTTATTCAGTAACAGCTTTTCTGAAGCTAGTATTTTTTGTTCAAATTGCGTCCAGTATATTTTAATCGTCGTAAAAAGCGCCCTGTCATTAATACATCTATTTGGATGAACCTCAGGATCTTCCATATTGTTAGGACATTCCATCTCCCTTTATCAGTAGGGTCAACCCTGTTATGGCTTTCAAACTGTTTTGGTTTTCACTGTGACCCGTAATTACTTTTCTATATGAAGAGTCGATCTGCTAGGGTAGAGGGTGATTGGTGACCTCTGGTTAGCGAAATTGTGGTGGTTCATTTTTACGGGTTTGGTGAGTTTGGTAATCCTATACTCAGCCCTCGTAGAGGCGGCCAAAACAAAACATGGCGCAAATCCATGAATTCAATGACAACTGGGTTGAGTTATGTTGGTGGGTGTCGACTATCTGGTTGGGGCCCGCAAGATGATAGGAACCGATAGTTATCGACCTTGAATAACGTGACTCAGAACCGTTTGCAATGGCGCAGGTGCACCCATTATTTGTGTTCTCTCAAGTCCTTACCTCCTGAATTCTTCATCACCTTTATCGTTTTACTTATAAGTTTATTTCACTAGATTCTACTTCTTGAATAATATCCTTGAACCTTAATTTCTCCGAATACTGCTAATACTTCTACTATGTCTACTGCTATGGGATTTGAATTGACAATTGAGTCTCTGTGGTAATATGGTTATGGCAAGCTGAACTGATGTACGTACATAGGAAGCTCTACGTTGTAACTGACTGAATTAACTGACCCTCCTCCATTACCCAGGTTTGGGACGGACCTTAGTTCCAGTGTGATTCAATTTTCATAATGATAATATAATAGTGTGTGTTTTTAAGTTTAATCCCACTCATTATGATAATAATCATGATTCTGTTAATAGTAATCTTTGTATTTTTTTTATTGTTCACCACTACAGATGGGTGTTACAAAATTGCATAAAACTCAACATCGTTTTGAAGAAGAAGATAAAGAATTTGTAAGTTGATATTATTATCAAATTTATTATTTTATATTGTGTGTTAATAATCATTTCAGTTGTTCATTATACAGGTTAACTAGTTGAAATTCAATTTTGATAATTTACCGCTTTTATAAACTATCATAGTTTGTTCTAGTCACAATGCAATTATGACATAAAAACATGGCAATTCATTTGCAATTCAGTTACATCCAGCTGTTTACCAGTGTAATTCAAGGATTGCTTTCATCAAAAAAATACAGTAACGTACAGCAACCAAGTTATACCATAAAAACTGTCCAAATAGTTTGATTATATATAGTTTCAGATATTTAAACGCTCACTCAAATGTTTTTGTTTTATTTGTGGAGCGGATAAAACGATGAACTTTTAATTATTGATTTGACTTTTCGGATCTAGCTTCATGTATTTGCGTTTGATCAGTCGAGATACATGAAAGCGTTAGCAAACTGAAAGATCGTGTTGACCTATTATATGAGATTTTAAGGAGGTTGATAGATTTTTTAGTAAGATTACAGTAGTCAACAACTGACAGTTTCATAGGGCAAGATGCTACTACCATTCTTTTTTTTCTAAAGCATAAAACGCAAGTTCATTGTGCTAGTTTCTTACACTATCAAAAACGAGTGATAATTCTCATAACCATTCTATTTTCAGCTCTTTATTTTTTATCACTGAAATTAGTTATATATATATATATATATATATATATATATATATATATATATATATATATATATATAGCATTATTTATCTATTAAACTTAGATATGTTTATTTTTAAATATATCTTTTCATAGATAAAATCCTACCCTCGTATTATAGAGAATAGTATTGGGCAAACACTTTGTGTAAAATCGAGACGAGCTGAACGTAGACAAGCTAAGATTGAACGTAAGCGAAAAGAGAAAAAAGCTAAACTTCAAGAATTAACTCGCTTACGTAATCTCAAATTAAGTATGCTAGCGGAAAAAATTGAAAGAATTAAGCGTACTTGTGGTCCAGGTTCATTATTGCTTGATGCTAACGATTTAATGAAATCACAGGCTACGAAATGTGATGATAATAGTAGCAATGAGTTAAAAACTTCTTCCAAGGTAGATGTACTAGATGTTGCTGAATATTTGGATGATGATTGGGATCCTGAAAAACATGAAAAATTGTTGAACTCAATGTTTGGTAAGGAATACGAAGAAATAGATGAAGAGATAAAAAAGCCGGAGTTTTCAGATGAGAGTGATCTAGAAATGGAGCCGTCCTCAGATGATAAACGTAATTCACCTCCGAAAAAAGTATGTTCCATAAATTCGATTTTATTGTTTCGAGCTTTGTTACTATCTTTTACTGTCTGATATACTTTAAAGACACTGCTTAATCCGTCTAGCTCCAAATCAGATTACGAATTGGATGCTAAATTGAATAAATCTCGAAAATCCGAACAACTAAAGATAGTTTAATAAAAATAGCTTTTGTATAAAATTTGCACAGTAATATTCTAATATTTTTTCGATCCACTCGCTCGAGCTGATATGGAATTCTCAGCATGGAACATTTCAACAAATTTCCTTTCGAAATAATTAGTGATTGGTAATTGAAGATAAACAGTACAAGAATCGACTTCCTATTCTTTTCTCAGTAGATCGCCAGCTACCACGATGTTTCGGATTGTATTTTTTGTACCTTGTTGAGCGATAGCTAGTACACTCTCTATATGTACGCGCCTGAATAGATTATACCATTAACAGACTTAATTAACGTGTCAAAGCAAACAAAAAGGAGGCAATTTGCTGAAATATTTTGATGGTTGAAATCAGACAGCCTAGTTATTCAAACAGGTTCTCTTGTGTCGAGCATTCACTACTCAAGTTTCTATCCTGGTAGTAGATTTCTTTCAGCATATACTAGTTTAATTTTTTAATGTAACGCGATTGCCTCTTTTGCTTTCTTATAAATTTCAAAAGCATATCTATTTTCGTACTGTTATGAATTTGAACTTTGTTCGACAAAATATGTGATCTTTTGATACTGTTATTTGTACGCTCTATCGTATACCAACGATAATTTCTGCATTTAAACAAAATCAAAGATCTAACGTACATTCAGTCATCTCAGTTGTTAGTGGAAGTAATTTTCATAATTATTAACTCACTTAGTAATATGACTGCTTTTTAATCAATCCATCATATATTTAACTTCACTAGGTGACTAGTGGAACGTCTTTCTTTGCTGTTAGATTATATAACGAAACTGCTAAGACATTCACACGAACAGTCAGATTTTATCAACAAGACTGAAATCCTTTCAGAAACTATAACCACCCACTCATTTCTCTTAACTTGATTTTCCACTTGATCTCTACTCTTTTATGATAGGATGTCATTGCTTTTAGTCCATTAAAAGTTTAGATGGTCAAAGGTTATGTTTCGTTAATATTGGTACAGAGTTGTACCAGTTCGTTCCGCACTGTTTGTTCTACATCGAATATGAAGTTCACATGTTAGCTGTGAGTTGTTGTGCTGTGTGTAAACTGCCATCTGTCAATTTTGCAGAGAAACGATCATATTACCGTAGCTTAGTATTGTAGATCCATGCTGAACCATAATGACGAGATCTAACAGAAATTCTTGTCTCAAATATCTGTCCGACAGTCATATTTTGTACTGTTACATCTACGTTCTTGGAATCAATTGTTCCTTTTCTTTTTCTCATGGGATCAGCACAAATCAAAATCTTGTAATAATGATTCCGCAGACAATACACCACCTAAACAATCCGGTAATATGAATCCTATCGACACACTTTCTACTGCAAATGGTAATAATAAGACAAGGCGTGGAAAACGACAACTATTTGAAGCATTGGAAAGAAACAAACCAATTTTTAATCCCGATGATTATCCAGACTTTGAAGTAAGTTATTTCACCAAGTATACGTTTGAAGATATATTAAGTGTTAATTATTTGCACCTATAAAATAATTTTGTAACATTACCGCCGATAAACTGTTCACTTGTCATAATAAGTCAACAAGAATGTTTTTCTATTACAATCATGAATAATACAGTCTGTAATTCAGAATAAACATATATTGCAGTATAATTTCCTATAACAGTTTCAGCTAACTTTACTAATTTCTTTTTAAAATATTTTGAAAGTACGCAGGATACATTGTATGTCCCCAAACACTATTCATTATGTTATTTCATCGTCAAGACTAGTGTAGCTTATTCATTAATTTCTTTTTAAAAGTTTGCATAGTATGTATAATTTTGATTGTTCAGTATTCTGTTTCTCGTCGTGTATTGCTGATTAGAAAAGAATACTGAGCACATGTGTTACTAAGTACATGTGATGTGGACATGGATATGATATTGAAATTCTCTATTTTACATTTACATTACAACAATCAATGTAAGCATTTCATCAGACCAAGTTAATTTATGTCAGGTGTGTTACACATACAATAGATAAGTGATTATGAAGGTTAATGATGATCTAGATTCTGACTAAATTTAACCTATAAGCCTTCATGTTACTAAATTTAACCAGTTTTCGTATGCAGCAAGATGAAAAATTGGCAGGGAGACACTTGTAAATTCAAGTGGTTTGCTTAAATCACTGTTGAGTTTGAACTAGAATATATATATATATATATATATATATATATATATATATATATATATGACGTAAAGAATATTTATTTGGTCATTAATTAGAAAGCTTCAGATATGTTTTAATCCTTCATATGTTCTCTAGGTACACTGCACCAACAGAGCCGTCAAAACTTATTGTTATGATGTGCGATATCCGGGATCTGAACGCAATATGCGCTAACCCCCCCCCCAAAAAAAAAAACTGACTACTTAAGCTGGAAGTCAAGAGTAGAAGAAGAAGTCTGTTTGGCTATCGAATAATAAAAATAATTACTCATTGATATATGTGTGCGACCTTAGAAAATGAATTACTTTCTTGATCAGTGATATGCACCCGTTCTTTAGGACATTTTTGATGGTCATCAAATGACACTTCCGTTCGATCACTTCTGATTAACTCCGTATATTACTTATGATACCTAAAATGATGTTGTTTACTCGATTGCCCTTCCCCTTAATATATGATGAATAAACTTGATTTTCACTGTTCAAAAGGATGATTTTTTTAGTGTTTATATAACTTTCAATCATAGAATCCTGATATCTATCCTAGTGTCTCTTTGACTTACAAAATCTGGGTTGTGCTTTGTGTGCGATCGTGGCTATACAGTCTCCAAACTTAGTCGTAATCACATTATTGTCTCGAATTGTTGAATTCCTTCGGCGGTCAACTTTGATTATCATAATGCTGGTATTATCATCGTATATGTGAATCAATGATCAGTACCTGGACCGTCTAGCGTCTCTTTTGCTCCACTGCTAGCAACATTCTGTTTATTCTACATATTCTAGTCTTCAGTCAATCAGGGCTCCTATAGTTCCTTTACTTCCATTTTGGTGCTGTGGTGCGAGCTACAGAGTTACTCAGTAAAATTGGAAAACCATATCGTAAATCGTTCATTTGCAAAACATCAGTTCATCATATCGAACTGGACTGTTCCTGTTGCAAAACATCAATCCAATGTCACTGTTCATGCGTTTCATACAAATTCCATTGTTTTCTAACTCTTCCTTTCTTGATCTTCCCCCACATTATGCTGCCAGACATTACGTTGACACTCACGTCACATACTACTTACAAGTAGCTCGCACCACAGCACCACACTTCAAGAGTTATCTATGATTCGGTTATTAGATCAGTTCCAGCAATTGTACTTCTTATTCAAATGTCAATTAACGTATCTTATTTGACACAATCTCTTACTTACACAATGAGTACCTGAGTTATGGGCTTGTATTTAATTTACAGTTATTGTTACAATTTTGCGAGTAACGAACAGTCTAGACCAAGAAAACCAATAGCAGTTAATTGAATAATCTGAATAACTTCATTTTGGATGTATTATTAACATAATGTTATGATGTGACTGGGAACAGTTTTGTTATATAACCAAGGTTATAATTGTCTTCTTACTTTCATTACAACTATGTACCATTTTCATCATCTGCAGAAATACTTTGAAGAATTTTATCAATTACATTGCGAAGATATTATACCTGGTCCTACTCCTGATGAGGATGTTTATTGTCGTTTCAAATATCGTAATGTTTTGCCAAATGATTTTGGTTTGAGTACAGAAGAGATATTAAAAGCTGATACTAAAGAATTGAATGCATGGGTATCATTAAAACGTATAACAGCTTATTTGTAAGTATTGTTTGTTTGAAATACTTTTTAAAATTTATTTTTTGGTTACCCAGAAAATGCAAGTGCTTAATTTGGGAACCAGGGGAACGTTATTGCTTAACTGCTCTTCTTATGCATACTTGCCACTGTAAGAAAACGGCAATCGGTATTGAATTGAAATGTAAGAAACATGTTAGCATATGCAGTAGCTAAAATCTAATTTTTAGTATTCTTTTTATTCTTCAATTACTCTATACACTACTTTAAATGAACAAATCGTTTACTTAGCGTCGCTAGTTTGTACTGAACATGTAATGTGACTAAGGTTTTTTCCACATCGTATTACTACTTAGACGCATATTATGTAGGTTATTCTGTTTAACGATACAATTTACTGAAATCTTTATGTTAGTCCCGAGTGACGTGAGAGTTATTATCTTTCGAGAAATTCGCTCTTGAAAATCCATAAGTATGTTATTCAACCATTTTTTTTCTTCATACTATGCAATCTGTTTTGTTAGATCACCTGATGAAGAATTGAAAGACCAAGAGTTATACAGTTCTAACTATCAATTGAAACGTAAAATGGCTGTTTTGGGATCATTAAATAATCCAAACGCGACATGGTATCCTAATAAGAATGAAGAAATTGAAAGGTTAGATAAGTACTATTTTTATGCGTTTCTGACTAGAATAATCCTTTAAATCACCGCTTGATCTCTCTGCCATGGAATATATGTTTTTTTTATTGTCTAGATTTATTTACTTTACTGGTTTATATTTTCTCAAATCTCCTTATCTCCGATCCCTAGTCTTTTCCATTACCGCTAATACTGCCACTATCTCTACTACGCTGAGATTTGGTTTGATATGTTCACCTCTCTGTGCCAATGTGGTATGACAAATCGAACTGATGTGCGTACGTGCCAAGTTCCAGGCTGCAACCGATTGACTGATTTACTATATCATTGATATTATAGTGTTGTTATTTCAATAAAAAGAACACTTCTAGGAAGGTACCAATACGTAAATATAGTAAATAATTTTCTGCACTGACTGACATCGAACATGAGAGCACATTGATTACCTATTTCGCCTTACCTAAATAAGTTACTAATTGTTAATCCAAGTCATGTTGATTGATACAAGCTACGTGATTGGAATCTGTTGAATAACTCCGTTGCGATTCGATCATATTGACTCGGATGCGTCCACTCCTTATCTTTCCCCTAATTCTCACATTCGATTTGATTTTATACTCTCTCTTTCTTTATCATTTTTGGATGATATTCTTTGTTCGATCCTGCTCACGACTATTGCTTCGCTTCAGGCATTCATTTCAATAATTTATTTTGGGTGTGTTGGTTTTATGATAACTTGAACTGATGCAGATTAGTGCCAAGGCAAAAATAAATTAACAGAAATTGAGGGGGCGGTAAAGGGTTTACCATACCCATATTATAATACATAGTGATCCAGTAGTGGACTGAAGTAAACACAAAGCCCTAACACACCTTTTTCAGTTACCTAACTTTAGCTTTCTGTGGTTGATCCAGTTGACTTCAGCCATGTAGAGTCGTAATCTAGCTACTTCAAGTCAAAGTTTTTGAAACTTGATACAAAACGGCAGGTTTTGTCTGTCTAGTTATGATATTCACTATCCATCAAGCTCTGTTAATAGATTGCGTGACACATTTTCTTAACCATGCTGATACATGTTAGCGAGCACGCGGGACTAAAGTCCTCTGAGTTGTGATCTCAAATAAATCACTACTTACATAATGAATCATAGATAGATTACCGATGATGACTACTCCATATGTGTATACTAATTCTGCATGTGCTTTCGTCGTATTAGGTATCGTTTTAATAGAGTTTTTAAGTCGACGTTTTTAAATATCATCTTTTATGTTCCCTTTAAGATCAAGTACTGGATGCAGGGTTTTCCTACTGGACGTGTTCAAGTTTTTCCTACTTTTCTTTTCTCATCGATATGTTGTTGATTAGAGTACTTGGAATACCCTGTATTTGGTAGTATATCCTATAGTTTATCTAATTCTCTATCGACACTACTTTCAATCAGTCACTCAGTTAATACAACGTTGCTTAAGGAGGTTAGGAGACTCTGCATTTTTTCAGTGTCTTCACCAAGTAGAACTATGTCATCGGCATATTCTAAGTCAACATGTGAATCACCTGGTAGGAGGTGCACCGCTGAAAAGTCAGACGAAGATAACGTTACATCTGAAAGCATGTTTATGACAAAATTAGGCAATAATGGTAAAAGTTGCAAACTCTAACAGACACCACTTGAAGTAATCAGTTCTGATGACAGTTCGACATAAGCTCTAACTTGTCTAGAGGTGTTCGAGTAGAGAGCCTGTATAAGGTTAATGTACTGCTCTGCTACACCTTTTAATGACAGACACTACCGAATAAATAAAAACACCGTATAAACTCCATAAACTGGGGAGCATTAGGCGGTGATTTAAAGTCACTTGTCATTAATGTGGTGGGAATTCGGTTTGTCCATCATTTCGATGTCACTTCAGAATTATTACAGTACAATTACATAAGTAGTGATGAGAATAGATGCAGGAAACATAGTGAGGTTCTTATACACACAACTGACAGTATGAATTTCCGTTCCTTTGTCTTTGAAGTACGTGGTGGCGATCACGCTAATTTGTGATTCATATTGAGGTCTTGTGATATACTTCATGATATAGTTCAGCCTCACTTGAATTTGTGGAAAGAATACACATCGGCTGAAATAATTGACTGTTCAAAAAATATTGGCTTCACAGTTGACGAAGTATTGCCTGTATTTAAAGGTTCACTACTCATTTACTTTCCGGTTTATACCATGATCAGTGCAACCATTAACCAGAGGTCGGGATAATTCTTAGACGTAAGAATATGTAGGGTTTGCCAACTCCATCCCCAACCCTCCTTCTTTATCCGGGCTTGGGTTCGGCAGTTTCTCTTGAGGGGCCCCAGGAGGAGTTCTGCACTTCTGTGAAAACATAATAATTTGATTCTGTGGTTGAGACATTTAACCAAATTCAATGTGATGTATATCTTTGAAAATGTGTATACTGATCAGTACCTGTATCCTTTCTAAAGCAGTTCCTTCGGTATATCCTTTTGGAAAGAAGGACATCGAGGAAATGCATACTTTTATCATACTCCAGTTTGCTAGTAAATTTGATAAATGGATGAATGTTCCTGAGATAGTTTAACAGCTTTCGTTTAGTAAAGAATTTGACAGTAGTAATCTGGCTTCTTTAGTATCTCTCTTTGGATGGCCCATTTCCTGGTTTTGTCTAAAATATTGACAAGCATCGGACCTATGAGGCACCCCACTATTATTATTACTCCATCCGTTCGTCGATGACATCCGTTATTGAACATGAAGTATGTATTCACTGAGCACTTTGACAGGAGCTGTTTTATTGAGATCAGTGTTGCTACTTTTGTTCAGAAATTTGTTTTTATATATAGCCGATGTTCTCTATCAGTGGGACGTTTTCCCTGCATCTGCGAATTCAAATACACCTTTAACTCTGCACTTAACCGGGTATCGGCATATTGGTCCTAATAATTTCACCAGCTATTTTACTGTTTAATAGGTATGGTGAGTTTGAGATGTTTAGAATCGGACGTAGAGAAACCCCTGGGTTACGAACCTCAAGTAGGCCAAAGAGTCAAGGAACACGTGCAACAGAAGGATTAAGTCGATCATACGTTTATCCAGCGATATATTGCTGTTTTTTTTCGAAGTTTTAATCCCGTAGTAAGTTGATTTTCAATCTTTGAATCGAGGTCCTTACATGATCCAAGTTTGTGAAATTCGTTTGTCCATTCGACAGAGTAATCATCTTATGTATGTATTCAGTCTTGTTTCAAAACATCTTCCACTTTGGTCCAGGGATTTTTATGTGCTCGTTCGATTTAAAATGGCTTAAAGGAAGAAAATAAGCTTGCGATTCATGAAGTCGAAAAAAAAAATAGTCGCCGATTTTTTTCTATACTTACTGGCTTGATCTTGTCTATGATTTTTTCCTTGTGATTGTTTTCCTTTTAATTAGTTCTAGTAATTGATTGGGGCTTGAAAATTTGTTTGCTTTATTGATTTTGTCTGTTGTATTTCCATAAGTTAGATAAAATGCATGCACATCAATTAACTTTTCATCGGGTTTCAGGTATAGCCTAAATTTTACTTTAACTCTGCCTAGTTACTTATATGAATTTTAGTAGAACACTACAGTGCCTCATAACTTTTATTTTTGATGTTCTAAGTAGTCATACTCGTAAGTTTTTATTTTAATTACCTTTCTCTGCAATAAAAGTACTAACGTTTTGTGATTTTATTTCACTTTTCATTGCTCATTTGTCGTAATAATGTAACATAATCCTTATTTTTATGCACTAATACCATGATGTAGTAATGCTGTGTCGAAAAAGAAACGCAGACGTCATAAGAAGAAAAAAGGACTTGATTCAGGGACGCAGGAAGTTGAACTCAATGGTGATGATAATGATGATAATAATAATCATGAAAACAACAGTAATAATGATTCAGTGAAACAAAATGACATTGATTCTGGAAATGGAGAGAAGCCGATGAAGCTAAAGAAAAAGAAGTATGTTGCAGACGCCTGCAAGTTAAATAAAAAAGATATTTTCAAATCCCGTCTCCAGGCTGCTGGCATAACGTTGAAAGAATATCACCGTACAATGCAGAAAAAAAAGCGGTGTAGATCTGAAGGTTCCAATGAATAAAATAACCATTGTTTTGAAAATTGTTTACTTCAAATTATTTGATTTTATATTCCTTAGGTTTAAATGCGAATCTATAGGTGCATCTTACTTCATTATTGCCAAGTCAGAACAGTCTAAGAATACTGAGTTTTGATCATAGTAAAAACTCATCTAAATAGATATTTGGTGTGCGAATATCTAAACCTTTCTCTCTGAAAAAAAACCGTTTTCGTATTCCGAATATTGTAGGAATGTGACTCAGCGTTAAATAATTGTAGTTTGTGGAAGACAGACATCATCAGCCCAAACTTTAGATAGACTTCAATCCTCGTGGATTTCAATGGTGATTGAACCAGTCGGTTGAATTGATCCGGTCACAACAATCATTTCTGTATTTTTATGGGAATAGATATTTTCAGCGTCATCTGATCTAAAAGCATCCTCGTTTCTCTTCTCTCAAAATCCTCTGAAATCTTGACATTTCGTTACTAAGAGAGCATGAACAAGGATTGTTTATCTTTCAAGATAGTGTATTATCGGCAAATGAAACAAACTCAGAAAATTAGGACTTTCACCTCACCCATCTGTTCGTACAATGTTTTAACTGTGAGTTGAAACATGCAGTGCCTTTTTCTGATTGTGTAGTTGCACATTCCAAAATATTGTTGTAAGGGTGTGTCACACGTGTCTGCTATTCATCTTGGTAAACAATCAAATCTGTGTGCTGTTGGCATGATATGCGTTCTTCCCCCCATCACTGTAGTCTAATATGAACGCTGTTTCTTCCCACCTTTTCTTAGTTTAAGTTGCTAAAAATGACCTGAGATTACCTGTTACTGTTTGGATTTTTTTAATTAGTCGGATTAAATTCTATGTGGTTTCCTCTCATGAGGGAATGTGGTTCTGTGTTTCCATGTTCCGAAGATCCAAAGGTCGATTAGTCGTTTCAAAGTTGGTTTATCATGTTGCGTCTAGGTTGTGATTATCGACAGTTCCATTAGTAAATTTTGCTGCTGACGGATGGGATATTTCCCTACTCGCTTTTTATTCTTACCATTTTCATTTGTGCTCGTTTCAGTCGCTCAGAGCTATCAATGCTGTTAACAAACGTATTAATGTCGATCGTTAGCTAGTGTGTTGTAGGATCAACCTCAATTGTGTGACAGCAATCTACTTAATTTTTGTAAGTGAATAGTCTAAGTTTTATGTAGGCTGCTGAAGAAACTTGTATTATTCTTCGGAAATTTTCGTGATTGTTTCTCCAATAAAGCTAGCATGCGATCCATGTAGTGTCATTATAGTCTCAATTCAGAGAAATATCTAGACTGTGTCAGTGGTTATGGTTGAGTTAGGTTAGCGAACAATCTTGCCAAGAACAGAAATAATTTTTGCATGAATTTATTAGTTATCAAGACAAGTAAACTATGATTATTCTATTGGATGTATTCGCGTTATTACTCGGTAAACTAAGGAATCCTACTCGAAAATGGTAACATTGATTTCCAATGACTTGTTAAATACTGTAATCTAATTACATAAATTTTATTCGTTTTTGCTGATACGCATTTTAAAGTACATTGCAATATTTGTCGTTAAATCTTGCTTTTAGTATGTAAATGAGACAGTCTAATGCCAATAATCTGACTAGTCATAACGTGAATAAATTCGAATACTTCACTTCTAATTAAAGTTTGTACTAATGATGTTGTTCTAAAGAACAATGAAATCTTCACAACCAAAACGTCCAGCTGAAAGGACAAAACTCCACCAGAATCATCCTCCTGAGCTACAAATTTTCCCCACCATCTCCATAACTGATTAGGATTTAACATACTACTGTACCAGCTGTTAGAATGATGCATTATATTTGTCAGGAAAAAGCTTGTTTTCATCAAATATTATAGAATCGTTTACAGTAATCAAAAGGTTGATTTATAACTAAAAATCATGACTGGAAAAAGATTGGGACACTCATACATAGAAAACTACAGGTGATTCTTCAGGAGTTCAAATAAGAAATTAAATAAAAGTAAGTGGGTAGGTTGTAGAAGATGATAAACACTAACCGTGTAGATTCCTTTTAGCAATTCTACGGAATACCTTGTTAACTAATGCTTGACATCAATATAGTACTGACTTTCAAGTAACATCTAGAATTTCCGTAGAAGATATGGAAAAATGAAGGAGTCTCTAGGTGAACTAGGAAACCATCGTCGAAACGATGAGGTAAACCCTTGCTTAGTCGTTCTTCGAGTAGTGAGGTTTGAGAAGCGAATTGTGCTAAAACCCATATATTTGTCAGTTCTTCCATGAATGCAATCTAGAGACGCTTGTCCATCATTTTGATATCACTTCAGGATTTATAACAGTACAATTACATAAGTAGTGATGAGAATAGATGCAGGAAAGATAGTGAGGTTCTTATACACACAACTGACAGTATGAATTTCCGTTCCTTTATCTTTGAAGTACGTGGTGGCGATCACGCTAATTTGTGATTCATATTGAGGTCTTGTGATATACTTCATGATATAGTTCAGCCTCACTTGAATTTGTGGAAAGAATACACATCGGCTGAAATAATTGACTGTTCAAAAAATATTGGCTTCACAGTTGACGACGTATTGCCTGTATTTAAAGGTTCACTACTCATTTACTTGCCGGTTTATACCGTGACCAGTGCAACCATTAACCAGAGGTCGGGATAATTCTTAGACGTAAGAATATGTGTAGGAATGTGACGCGACCTGAGCAGTACAGATCCATTTATTGTAAAGCTGAGAAAGTATTCCGGACTTTGACAATTAAAACTAGATTTTAATATAGAGAGCGATTGGTTAAAGATTACTAAAATGGTTCAGTTATAGTGTAGTGTAGGAGAACTCAGGTAGGGCAACCGGACTGTATTTCACGAAAATTACAGAGTTACTCAGTAAAATTGGAAAACCATATCGTAAATCGTTAATTTGCAAAACATCAGTTCATCATATCGAACTGGACTGTTCCTGTTGCAAAATATCAATCCAATGTCACTGTTCATGCGTTTCATACAAATTCCATTGTTTTCTAACTCTTCCTTTCTTGATCTTCCCCCATATTATGCTGCCAGACATTACGTTGACACTCACGTCATATACTACTTATAAGTAGCTCACACCACAATAATCTAAAAAGAGGTAGACTCAGGGAAGTGATGAGAGCACATCGCTCCTGGTTCGGAATAATCAATTGATACTGTAGAGAGATGATATTCTGAAAGCTGAAGCTGTATCAAAATATGGTAATGGATTTTCACGCCAACAACGATATTTTTAAAAGTAACGATTATGGTGTACGGTCTCTGACTCTGGTCACTTAAGCGAGGATGTAAGTGCAGATGAGGACCATCAAGTTACCAAATAATATTCATCCGTATATATATTTTACACTCTTAGAAAGTGAACCTATTTCTCGAAGATCAGTATGCATCCCTCCTGTAAGGCTTTTCTGGTGGTCATAAGATCATCACATTCAGTCATCTCTGACTGGCTCTCTATGCTGTCCACCGTTATCTAAAATTATGACTTCCTCTAAATAGGTTTTCTGGTTATTGGCAGGTGTTTCCTACCACTACTCCGAAAACTCAAATCATGTATATATATATATATATATATATATATATATATATATATATATTCAGCTTCACTGACGATATACACTCTAGGACGCAACTGCCGAACCTTTGGCAATAACGTTCCTCCCTGAGACAGTGTGAACTGCCAAAAGACTGTAGTCCTAGTCTTCGTGAGTGTAAAGCGTCGTAGTAAATTGACAATCAGGCCTGTTCGAATAGCTACACTTATGCACACTTCCTGCTTACAGCCACCAATAAAGGCATTATCTAGTTTCTAATTCTACAAACAATTGCAAAAAAATCCAATTTTAATTCAGGACTTAGATCATATCTAAAGGTGCCTTGGATTCATAAAAATTACACCGACCGGAAACATCATTATCATTTGCTGCAGTCGGTAATGTCATTGTCAGTGTATGATAAAATATCCGTACAGATATACAGAGTTAATAAGTGGGTTCGTGTCTAATTACTAATTTTATGAATTCACAGTTTTTATAATCCGCTCTAAAATGACGTCTTGTATAAGCTGTGCCCTTGATGAGAACACAATCGCAGTTACTTGTTTAGTTCTTGGTACTTGAAAGCAAGGGGGCCAAAAATCAACTGACTGCAACGACAAACTTGTGGAACAAAGCTGCATACACAGGAAGGAAGTTAATTATGTTGCTTGGCAGACATCGAGCGAATTTACTAACTTCCGGCTGTGACCTCAGTGGCGCAAAGACCACCAACCAGCATTTTCCAACCTAATCCTTCCTGGACTTCCACTCACAGTTATGTCCAATTTTTGGTAATTCTCATGTCTGTCTCAAATTCTCGGCGTAATGTTATGGCGAGATAGAGAATTACTGTTCTTCTTGAGATTACCAAGTTAATCCCGATAGATGCAGAAGTCAGGGAGAAGACAGTATCTTGATGGAGAAGTATGTTTGTCTGTGGCCTCGTGATATCGAAATAATATCAAGACCGGAATAAAGAAGCGGCTAACAACCACTGAGGAGAGAAGCGTAAAGGGAATGATATGCTTTGCGCGAGAGATTGTCTTTAGTACAGATAAACAAAAGGAGTACAATAGAACAATTACTGTCAGAATTAAGTACAAGAATAAATGTTTCCATTTCAGAAATTGTGTTATATTTGTAAAAGTATACCACTACACTGCGTTCTTCAAACTTCCTCTTTTCCTTTGTCCTTGAGGATTACAAGTGAAGGATCATCTTGTGACGCACTTGGGTGCTTTCCACAATGTGCCCTATCCACTTCCGCCGCTTCTTCCTGCTCTTCTTCTCCGCTGCAATCTGGTTTGTTCTTTCACACAGTAGGCTGGTGCTGATGGTGTCTGACCAACGAATCCGAAGTATTTTTATTAGACAACTGTTACTGAATACTTGTATCTTCTGGAAGGATGACTTTCGTGGTTCTCCAAGTTTCCGCTCCATAAAGTAAAACTGTCTTGACATTTATATTGAAAATTGTGACTTTAGTATTGGCTGATAATTGTTTCGAGTTCCAGTTGTTGTCCAGTTGCAGAAATGCTGAACTTGCTTTACCGATACCCGCATTCACATCTGCACCA